ATTCTCTAGCGCGTAGAGCAGGCACATTCGACACCGCACCAGATAGATGGCAGCGCACGGCAGATTGCGGCACGCTGCGATCAGGCGGTCGAGGTGGCCCTGGAAAGGATACAACGCCTGGGCGGGTGCACCGCGCAGTGTGCAGGGTACATGTTAATATATTCCCGGAAGTTCGTGACGCCAACCACATACAGCGCCGCGGATCCCGCGGTGAGTCCGCGCCCCGCAGTGAGTAATATCCGACACCATCAGGAAATGTTCGATGTCGATGCAGTGGTCGCGGTCATGGATAATAACGTGCTTGGTGGAGGAGCGCAGGCATTTGAAGAGGAGCAGCAGAAGGATGTGTTGCAGACCAGACGCATATCCGCTGACATCGCACGTCTCAAGGACAACGCTGGCCGTCAACGTAGCCGTGGCTAGGATAGCGTCCCATGCTGGGCACACTGCGCACTGCGCTGGTCTGCGTCAGCGTGTCTAAATGGCCAAACACTTCCACCCACCCATCCACACCCAGTGCACGCGATTCATCCGTCGTCTCGCCGATATCCCAAAACTCAACCGGTGGCTTCATCGTCCGCAGGATGCTCGGAAGACCACCAATCAGCGCTTTGTACATCGCTCCAACACATTTCTGCAATAACCAACAAAAAGGATTCGGAAGAAGCCGATGAAGGAGACGAACTAATATTCTCTATGAAATGTGCTTAATCCGACTACGCAGAGTGAGATCTCGACGAAGTACCTTACCTGAGCCATGTCTTCGGCTTGCCGCAATGGAAACCCGACGTCACCGTTCAGCTCCACAATGAAATGCACCTGCTCATCCGCCATCTCGACGCAGACCACCTGCCCTTTGGAGGTCCGTAGCTGTTCCTGCATCTCCCTGATCACCTGCACCACTTGTGCTGCTGATGCCGCACGACACTCGGCAGGCCACGTCATACTTCGCTTGACAAAGCGTCCCGGTGCAACTGGCAGCAGATGCGTCACTGGCGCCCCCTCTGCCTCCTTTTCAGGTTGCTCCGACCACCAGTCTGCCGGAACGGGATAACGCAGGCGGGTCTTGGGGACGATGTCTGTCCAGATGGCGCCGCTGTCATCCGGTCCCTGGACAACAGCCACATTTATAAACCACCCAAACAATGAACCCGGTGCCACACTCAGCATGGTCCCGGGCCACCAGCGCCACGCCCCACCGGGATATTCACGGCGAAGAACGTCCATGGTCTCCCTGGGCTCCTCCCACCGGTTGAAGTCCCATCCCCATTGAGCGAAGTGCACGGGCCTGGAAAGGAAGACGCGATGGAAGGGGATGAGTTCGCGTCGACGGTCGCGACACAACAGATCGATGCGTCGACGGTCGCGACACAACAGATCGATGTGGAGTCCGCTGTCCGCCACGTCCACCACACGCCCGTACAGCAAGCTGCTGTTGTTGTCGCTCACAACGTTATTGTCACGGGTCCGTGCCACAGACATGCTGCGCGATGGATTTCGGGGCCCAACCTGACAAAGCGCAATGATTGCAATTCTTGATGCATACTTTACGAAGTCAGCCCTGTGACGTGAAAAACAAGTTCGATGATATCGTATTTTACCGGGCGCAGCCGATTTGACCGTTTTGATTGAAACACGCATAGAAATGTTTTTTAACTATATTTACATGTGTTTTGAGTGAGGAAAACCCAAAACAATAAAATATGAATAAAATATGAAATAGGAAATAAAATATGAATTAGGTCAAATAGCTACAGAACCTTCGAATCGCGGAAAAAATGTTTTGGCTGAGTTGCTCTTCGAGTTCGAGACTCTGCAGACTGCAGTCCACTGAAATGAAATTTATTCATAACGTAACCGGTCACTCGCAGCGGTGACTCAGTGGCTCTGCGGTAAAAGGTACGAGAACGTACTGTATTTTAATTATTTTATTTAACGATTTTTGTTGTAGTTTTAAATTTGAAATCATTTTGATTAGTGTCTATTAGCGCAGGCATGTTGTTATGGTAGTGGCTTTTGCCGAAAAAAGTATTGAACACTGTATTTAAGAACATGTATAGGTACATTATGTATCTGTAGTTAAAATGAAAAAACAAAAATTACTCAAGTCCGAGTAATTCGGGCCTCCAGTTACTTCGAAATTCCGAGCCGCATACTGTATTTATACTGCGATTAACAATACGTAAAGTACCTCGTTTTGCTGCACTATGTATAAAATAGAGAAACGCTTGCCGTTTGAAAAATGTGCAGTTCCTTCGTTTCTCGAATCACATTTTTGTGGGCTGCAGCGAAACGAAACACCGGTTGTGATGCTTTATGATTTATGTATCAGTTGCAGTAAATATACTGTATTTATTTGCGCTTTTTTCAGCGTTGGAATCAATTTACATTACGTTTCCATAGAGTTGGTAAAGTTTTCCATAGAGTTGGTAAAGTCGGTAACAGCACAATTAAAACACCACAGCACAAAATTTATAAGTGTCCATGTCTACCACGCAGACTCAGATGACTAATTGACTATTGGCAATGGGTTACCATTTAGACCCATTTAGTACGTCTTTCTCGCGTTATTTGGAAGCGTCGCACTGGAAGAAAAGTAAATCCAGGCCACTAGTTTCTGGTACGGGGAACGCCCAGTTGTGAAAATACGGACCAATCGTATAAACGTTTCCGGGTTCCCAACGCTGCCGCAGATCAGTACGCGTGGAGAACCAGTCCCGGAAACCGGCAAACGCCGGGTCAGTCTGAATTCGGATAGTATCAGCCACCGTTGCACCAATATCCAGCGCCAGGATGCGCAGATCCACCAACGAGGAAAAGCTGTCAGCATCAACCGACTGGAAAGAGCAGGAGTAGAAGTAAATTTGTCGCAACTTCGGCGGCGTTTCAAAGTCCTCTCTCTTATATAACGTCCAGCCGCACCCGTGAGCCGGTGACGGTGTAGCTCAGCAAATTGGTCAGTGCCATTTCTTGCAGTTTATTGGTGGCGCGCGGCGTCTGGGCGTAGGACAGGAAAAACTCCAGGATCTGGGCGCGGATAGGATAAAATGTGGGGGCCGTGATGTAAGGGGAATCACAGACCTCGACGGATATGTAACGAAACGGTGGCTGCGCTAGACCAACGAACATCGATGCAAGCTCTACCGGGGTGGCAGCCGTGGTCGGACAGCGCACGGTGTAGAAGGGACGGTCGTCTAGGCAGTTACCGTTAAAATGGACCCATGAGTTGTTGAAGTTCTCCGAGAACTGTCTCTGACACTGCTGTTCAGTGAAGGGAGAGTCGGTAAATTCCGGCAAGGGATACAGAAAGCTGCCGTTTTTTCATCCACATCTGAATCATGATCCGGAAATACTGCAGCAAGGTAAAATGGTTGTAAATTCGGAATCATAATGTTAAGTTATTATCGAAAGTTAATGGCGTGCTGGCAACTCGCTTATTGTTGATGCAGAGTTATATGCGCAATATAAAGCAAATGCGCCGATCACCAGCTCGCTATAAGTTAAATAAAGATACTACTCCGTGTTCATTCACCATCTGGTAAAGGGAACCATCTGGCCGATACCACAATTATTATTATTATTATTATTATAGCAACTACAGTAGCCAAACTCCTTTAAAGGAGACTTTAACCCTAAGGTGAAAACCTTTGAGTGTTTAGGCTATTGGAAAATTTTTTTGTTTAATTTTGAAAATTGTATACTTTTTTTGGTTTGATTTTATGAGATAAAAGTTACCCACCTAGGAATCGAACCCAGGACATACAATCTTAAAGCCAGACGTACTACCACCAGGCTAGGCAATTAACATTAAATACTTGATTATTATTATAGCAACTACAGTAGCCAAACTCCTTTAAAGGAGACTTTAACCCTAAGGTGAAAACCTTTGAGTGTTTAGGCTATTGGAAAATTTTTTTGTTTAATTTTGAAAATTTTATACTTTTTTTGGTTTGATTTTATGAGATACACGAAATGGTAACCAGTAGTACGGTTACAAGCACTTTTTGCATGGTGAGGCGCTCGCAAAAGAATAAAAAATGCAAAGGACTGGGTTCAGTTCACCTTTACGCAGTTACTCGTAATTTACGACAAAGCGTGGTTTTATATTAGGTCTCTAGACCATATTATTAGCTCAGATTGTGCGTGATACGTTGTTCCGTGATGGGAAGCGATAGCTGCAGTCTGACGCTATGACCAGCAATGCGAGTATGGCTGGATATCCGATGTTAATTCTGCCGGTCGCTGTGGATGTAAACAGGACACCGCATCGTGGGTTTGCCGGGTATTTTAATGAACAATGAATGCACAAATGAAAGTACAATGAACCAAAACAAAAAAACGCCCCCCTCCCAACACCCCCTCCCAAAGATCTTCGATACAAGCGGGAACGGGTGGGTGGGGAAAATCGCAGTCGTTGTGAACTGCATCAAAGATTTTCCCAAATGGTAGATGGCATGCGAAGCTGCCGAAAGGCAGCATGAAAACCAGAGCGACATTAAGAAATGTTATCTGACCACCCAGATGACCACCAATAAATCTGTCCCGCGACAGCACATTAATGTCAGGGCGAGGCAAAAGCATGCCGCTCGCCAGAATTAACATTAATTATCTCCGATAATTCCTTTTATTCTAAATACCGGGTTAGTCAACCGGATTTTAAATGATGATTTCCACTTCCGATATTAATCTCCACTGGTGTGATGGGATCTACATGCGTAAACTTTAATCAGATTTTGCTGTTTCCACGTCGCAAAATTAGATTGATTATGCCGATAATATTCATTACAGAGCGTCGTTACAGAGCATTGCTACGGTAATCCAATGTACTCGTACAGTACAATTTTGAACATGGTCAAAAGTCGTACTGCCGCTACATCATACTTAAGAAAAGCTACTCGTAGTATGCAAAAGCGACTAAACGGTTGCCCCGAGACACTTCGTTTCTTTAAATCTGTGCAACTGCGTTTACAAATAACACGGTCATTTACAAAGACGAATTAAATTTAAGCAGCAAATGTTTTTTTTAATTGTACTGCACAACATCATACGTGAGCAGCAAATACACACATCCGTACGTACTACGTACGCATTTCGGCATTTGCGAACAGTATTTGCATCAAAATCAAGCCGAACAGAAAATAACAGCCAAATATTTCGAAAGCAACAACTATTCTGTCTTTAACAGCAGCAATAACTTGATGTGACAGGCTGCTGCTGTAAAGTTTGGCCCTCTACCGTGCACAGGAAAACTGATGTGCCATCCAGGAACCATTTCCATATAAAATATTACTAAAGTGCACGTGGTCATGCTTCAAAATGCTTTTGCCCCAACGCGATTAGATACTCGGGCAGAATAATTTTCTTAATATCACTAAATTTAAAGTCCGGAATGGGGAAGAAATCCGTGTGACAAGAGGCCGCCGGATCCTGTAAGCTGCAAGCTTCGTTTAGGTAGTAGAAGTAGTCGGTGCGCTCACGAGCGTCGTCTTCGTAACCGTACGACTGGATGGTGATGGCCACATTGACCGGATCGTAGTTGATCAGCCGGTGAGTCTGGTAAATGGAGTCGGTCATCCACGTGTACTCGCCACTGGTCAAGTTGGCCGCGTGTACTACGAAGGACGCTCTCGCATTCGATCCATGATAGGATTGTAAAATTCCGAAGTAATTTTACCGTGTAAAACCTGCATGAAAAGTCATCAATTTTTTTCAACAATCGAATAAAAAAGTATATACAGCCTACGAACGGATAAAGATTAAAGATAGACTACAATACCTATTTGATTTTTGATGGTACGGGAAAATATTATCTGTTTACCTTAATAACGGCAGAACTGTCGCCATGATTATGAATGGAACTGGCTCCACTGGGCAGCCATATTTCCAGCACCATCTCCTGCCCGGGCGCCGTCCGTCGGGCAGTCTGCAAATCCGCTCGCAAGTACCCGGTCAAACCCGGCTTTCCCTTCCCTTTTATGATATTATACAAGAACCGTCCCTCGGTTTGCACGGAATACTGTATGGCCATAATCTCTTCCTCCGTCAGCTCAAAATTCTTCACCTGCTCCAGCAATCCACGCGCAGCAAACGGGAGATTGGCGGCCGGTAGATAAAACTGTCCATTGGTCAGCATATCATGCTCGCGTCTGCGCTGCTCCGGTAAAATCAATTTAGGTGACGGATCTAATAAAATAGGGTCGTGGCGGACCATGGGTGAATGTACCAGCTCCACACCGTACTCTAACTGAATATACTGGAGACGGTTGAGAAACGCGTCGACTAAATAGTTCTTTGGGACCTTCGTTGGGTCCGGGGTGAATGTAAAAAGCGTGTTGGTCTCCATCAAATATCCGTATCCGAATTTAATGAAGGCCGGTTCACGGGCCGACACCGACACCCAGATGCGAATCCATGGATCGCGGTTGTGTGTGAGGTTGACCTTTGGTACGTGGGTATTGTTGAGCGTGAAGTTGGGATGGCTAAAGGTCACTCGCGTACTGGAAACCGTCAAATTGTGCTCGTTGAGCAGAATGAGAAAGTTGCGTTTCGGTGGCACTATGCTAAATTCGACGGTTCCGCGACCTGCAAAATGCAATACAGTCGACTGCCCAAAACGTTTCGGGTGAGCGGGATTTTTGTGAATTTTACCATGATATCGCAGGGCGGCAATGTTCCGCGCTAGTGTTAATGATCCGCTGGAGTTGAGTCTGAGCGTATCAGGGGCTTTACACGGAAAGTGTTCGCAGCTCTGATCGCCTTGTGTATTGATGGCATCATTGGCCAAAAGATGATGTTATCAGCATTGCTAAACGCACTCAGGGCAAACGACAGAAAAACTGAGCAAAACGCTATAAAATGCATCATAATAATTGTGTATGCTGCTGTACAAATTTCAATCAACGCTCAGTACTTTTGCAAAAAAGATTTTCAAACGGTGAAAAAAAAGCTGTGGAATAGAATCATTACTGTTTACAATATGCATTTAAAAAACAAACGGCTGCACTATTCGGATTGGTACTGTAGATGAAAACGTATCGTCGAAGCCCAAGTTTTGTATAGTAGTTTGGCCCTGCATTCCCAGCAGGCATTTTCATAACGTCGGCTCGGTCGTCTTCCTGCACAACATTACGCATTAACCTAACGACATGTTTATTAAAATGCACCGGATGTGTTATCATGATGATAAATTTTCATACGTGAAAAGGAAGCTTCTGTCAAGCGGATAATGGTTTTCCCGGCATTTAGGCACAAATGCCCACGGTGGCTTATTTTCAGAATTCCTCCACTTTCGACATCCTTATCTCTCTGGATTCGTAACGACGTCAGACCGAGTGGTAAACGTGCACAGTCGCTGACAGTACTGCTTGGAAGCCGAAATTCGGCCAGTTATTACAATTAATTCCTTATCTACCGATAACACGTCGTGCCCAGAAAACCATGGCGGTTTCGGCGTTACCGTTAGATAACGACCCGAATAACGCGTCAACGCAACCTGTTATTCTCTATACCACAAAGAGCGACAAATGTCGACAATTTTAGTGTGATCGCTATGGAGGGCAGTTGTGCGTATAATTCTGATCAAAGTTCTTGTTTTGTCAATACCTAATGCCAACTGCCATATCATACATAGAGCTTACAAAATCGTTAATTGTCGGTAATGCACAGAATAAGCAAAAGCTGCGCATCAGAAATGAAAAATTAAATTCGGGAGGAATTATGTTTTAATAATTTTGTGTTGTACTCCTTTTCAGGAGGTATTAGAGTTGGCGACCCTTTGACAAAGCAAAGGCAGAGTTGTTGTGTACGATCTCGAAATAGTCCTCAAACAGCTCAAATGTGAAATGTTTCTTATAAATTCACCACAATGATACTAAATGATACTAAGCGTTATGCGGTTATGGGTGCAGTGGAAGCAGTGTAAAAAATGATTGGATAAGCACAACATCTGTCAATCCCTGAAACAACAAAATAACGAAGTACAGATATACTTGCTCGTTACGTGCACAATTTGAGACCGTAAATAACAGCATTTTTTAAAGCAGTAATTCCATTTACGGTGCACTATGCCAGTCGTTTAAGGCGTGTTTGTTCGATCGCACTAAGGATTTCAGGCAAAATTAAATTCTTGATATCGCTGAACTTAAAATCAGGCAGGGGAAAGAGTTCCGTGTAACACGACACCGACGAATCGTGCAGACTGCAGGCTTCGTTCAGATAGTGGAAATAGTCGGTGCGTTCAGGTGTGTTCTCTTCGTATCCGTAGGCTTGAACAGTAATAACCACGTTACCCGGGTCGGGATTGATCAGTCGATGCGTTTGATAAATGGAATCGGTCATCCACGTGTATTCGCCTGCAGTCAGGTTTGCCGTGCTCACCAAGATGGGACGCTCCCGCATGCGGTCCATCATTGGATTGTAATACTCAAAAGTAGGTCTCCCGCACAATACTTATAAAGGTCACAGCAAACACAACTGGTACAGTAATATACAATAGTTCTTTAGTAATAAGCCAAAAGGAAAACATGCTTTACCTTAATGACAGCGGAAGCGTTGCCATGATCATGAATCGGGCTGGATCCGCCGGGAATAACCACCTCCAGTACCAAGTCTTGACCGGGTGTGGTCCTCCGGGCCGTGCGGAAATCCGCCCGCAAATAACCCTTTAAGCCCGGCTTCTTCTTGTTTTGCAGAACGTTGAACAGGAAATTACCGGGGGTCTGCACCGAGTACTGCAAGGCCAACATTTCTTTCTCGGTTAGTTCAAACTTGTTTACTTCTTCCATCAGTCCGCGCGCTGTGAAGGGAAGATTGGCGACCGGCAAGTAAAACTGTCCATTGCTCAGCATCTCGTGCTCACGGCGCCGCTGCTCCGGAAGAATCAATTTGGGCGACGGATCCAGTACAATCGGCTCGCTTGTGACTACTGCCTGACGCACCAACTCTACACCAGCGATATAACTACTCTCCAGTTCGCTGAGGAAGGCGTCAACAGCGTAATTTTTTGGAACCTTCTTGCGATCGGGCGTAAAGGTGAAAAGCGTGTTGGCGTCCATTGGGTAGCCGTATCCCAATTTGATGAACGCTGGTTCGCGAGCTGAGACGGACACCCAGATGGACAACCATGGGTCACGACTCTGCGTCAAGCTGACCTTCGGTACGCGGGTAATGCTCTGTGTGAAGTTTGGGTGGTTGAACGTTGCGGAAACATCGGAGATGACAAGATAGTATGTCAACGGTTCCTTGCCGTTCAGGAAAATCAAAAAGTTACCATGAGGAGGTACAATGTCATATCGTATTGATCCGTGACCTGTAAATTGTGTCAGAATGGTTGATGTGATTCCGCTAGCGTACCATAGCCTACTTATTGAATTGCACCTTACCGCGATGACGCAGTGTTTGTAAAAACGCGTATCGGGCGCCAATTAGAGTCTTATTGGAACTGAATGCAGCCGCATCGGTAACCTTGCAAGGGTATTGACTGCACGGCATCGGCTGTTCGACCGATAAACCGAAGGCATCACTGCCAAAAAGCGCGGCGCAGTTGACGTGATACAGAGTACTGATAGCGATCGTAATAGTTAAACTAAGCGCATGAAAACTCATGATACCGTCGGTAAAGTATTATTACTGGGAGTTAGTTGGGAAACCGAGGAATATGAAAGAAGCTTTTGTTACGCGTAATTCGCATCACTAAACTGCCAGGGCGTGCGCAATGTGCGGCCTGCACTTTCAACCGGCTTTATATATTTATCCTCTATGCGTAAATGCTGTATATAATGATACAGATGAACTTTATGAGTCCGGTAGGTCAGTTTTTAATGCGAGTTCTAGTCCGTTCAGTGACGTATCTTATTGAGTTGCCGCGATTTCTCGTTGTCAAATGCAAACACACGACTGTTACGCTTTTTACAGGGACCACATTCACTGGCTCAAAAGTGACGTCGAGTGGCGCACCCAGTCCAGCTGTCGACGGATTTACATCTCTTGCCGAATTGGGGAAAGCATAATTTGCATGGATATCCGTTAGTTTTTACTGCGCTGTTTGCCTACAGCAAACCACCAGTTTCAAATAAACCGACCTTTTATGGTTTGTTCTGACGTTAGCATTCGTAGCCAATTTACGAGCGAATACAGCCACTAAATATGAGATTTATACTCTGGAACTACCGCTAAATTGCTGTAAATAATTGGCAATGCGCAAATTTTGTTTGAGGTGGATTAGCAAAAAGCCATAACGCTTTCAAATTTTCAAGTTTATCGCTCGGTGCAGAATCCGGTGGCGTCTGGCGTGTTTGCATTTTTATATTGTGGATCGAGCAGCATCCGCTGAACAAGAAAGCGCTACATCGGCGCAAACGTTCTTCTAATGTAACCCTGTACGAGTACTAATCTTTCAATGCGAATATTTTTCGAATATGGACAATTACATCAGATGTTACAAAGTGCAAACCTATCTCACAAATCTTAGGCCGCTATAAGCGCGATGCAATGAGAAGCACAAAGTAATGCTTAATTTTATCCGAAAATGCGGCATGGTTTTCGGAAATCCTCTATTTCCAGCTCTCTCATAGTCATAAACTTACAATCGTTTGAAGATCCAGAAATACGCGTATTGCATATTAATGTCCACGCTCCACACCATGACACAACACGTGATAATTCGAAGGCGACGAGTGAGGAAGCTAATTTCATACTTCGCTTTGCCCATTATTTTAATCAGTACCGCTTTAGGGATCAATATATTAATCACTTTTACTGCATAGATGCAGTGCTGGTCTTATTACTGCATAGATTGCACACTGATAAGCTGCGTAGGCTGCATAGACTGAATGGTAATGCATAGACTGCATTTCAGTCAGCCGTGGTTGTTCATGTAGCCGCCCGCCACAAAGGCTCTCAATTCGGTAAAGTGATTAATATATTGATCCCTAAAGCGGTACTGATTGAAATAATGGGCAAGGCGAAGTATATCAAGTACATCTCACATAATACAGCTTAGGACAAAAAAGACGCATAATCTCACCCACATCATTCCGAACGCATGCGGCGCAGTGCGCTGTACGACTCAGCTAAAATATCCGGTTCTCGTACAAGTGCACTGGCCACATGCGTACGGATATCTGGGTATGGGGTTGTGCGTCTTTTTAGTCCTAAGCTGTATCAGCATCATTTGGGCATAAGCGCAACATTTTGGAAAATCGTTATTGCGGCATTTTGGCAAAATTTTTGGGGTGAACATCTGTTCGGAAGTGAGATTTTGCGGGCGGACGGTTTTGCCGGGTTACAGATGACCTCATGAACGGAAGATTAGATGTACTGTGAAATTTAATATTTGATGATAGATCCCCAGCAGAGAGGTCGAGAATGAGTGGCGGTTTTTTTTATTTATCTCCGATTCTCTATGACCGCGAAATATTCATACCAATAACAAAACTTTGAAAAGTAATGCGCAATAGGTGTATGTAATATGCGGATCACACAAAGCAGTTCAAGACCATAAGTAGTTCTAAAAAAGACGCTTAATACGTGTTTGATCGATTGCGTTAAGGTACTCCGGTAAGATGAAGTTCTTAATATCGCTGAACTTAAAATCTGGCAGAGGAAAGAGATCCATGTAACACGACACCGACAGATCGTGGAGACTGCAAGCTTCGTTGAAGTAGTGGAAATAATCTGTACGTTCCCAGGTCTCCTCTTCGTATCCGTAGGCTTGAACGGTAATAACCACGTTGGCCAGGTCGGTGTTGATCAGCCGGTGAGTTTGGTAAATGGACTCAGTCATCCACGTGTATTCGCCTGCTGTCAGGTTTGCTGTGTTCACCAGGATGGGGCGCTCTCTTATCCGATCCATCATCGGGTTATAAAATTCAAAAGTAGGTTTTCCGTACAAAACCTGTAAAGGTCACAGAAAACACATAATTGATAATATGCTGTTCTCAGTAAGAAGCAAGCGGGACCTAAGAAACCTAAGACCTTAATGTTTTACCCTACTGTTTTACCTTAATAACAGCGGATGCGTTGCCATGATCACGAATCGGGCTGGATCCGCGGGGAATAACCAACTCCAGTACCAAATCCTGTCCCGGCGCGGTTCGCCTTGCAGTCCGGAAATCCGCCCGCAGATATTCTTTCAATCCCGGCTTCTTCTTCTTTTGCAGGACATTGTACAAGAAACTGCCCGGTGTCTTTACCGAGTGCTGCATGGCAATGATCTCTTCCTCAGTCAGCTCGAATTTGCTCACTTCTTCCAACAATCCCCGCGCCGCAAGCGGCAACCTGGCAACCGGCAGGTAGAACTGTCCAATGCTTAAGACCTCGTGCTCACGTCGCCGCTGCTCCGGCAAAATTAGTTTGGGCGACGGATCCTGTACAATGGGCTCACTCGTGACTACAGGATAGCGCGCCATCTTTACACCATTGATCTGAATGGCCTCTGTTTGGCTGACGAAAGCGTCGACTTGGTAGTTTTTCGGAACCTTTCGGCGATCGGGGGTAAACGTGAAGAGCGTGTTGGCGTCCATTGGGTAACCATACCCGACCTTGACGAATGCTGGTTCACGAGCTGAGACGGACACCCAGATGGACATCCACGGGTCACGACTCTGCGTCAAGCTGACCTTCGGTACACGGGTGGTGCTCTGTGTGAAGTTGGGATGATTGAAGGTCGCGCTGACGTCGGAAATCAGAATGCCGTATACGTTCCAAAAACCGCTGATGCGCACACCTCCGAAGCTGTTGAGGTAGATCCAGAAGTTACGCTTAGGTGGTACGATGTCAAATCGTACTGTTCCGTGACCTACAAAGTAAAAAGGAGAACGTAAATCCTAGCGACAAGAACACGTATTAATAATTCTCTGACATCTATCTAAAAGCTGAACAGACTTTACCGCGATGGCGCAGTAGCATTGAATAACTATATCCGGACCAGTCAGCATTCAGAGACGTATTGGGACTGGGTGTAAAGAGATCACCAAAATGGCAAGGATACTGACAGTCGGTAGCCTGCTCGGCCGGCGAACTGAAGGTATCATTACCAGACAGTGCGGCGCAATCGCTGCAATACAGGGTGCTGAGCACTACCACTGTAACCAAGTGGAAAGCTTGGATACTCATGATCCCTGATGAAAATTATAATATTACCGGTAAATTTCCCAGAGTTTTAAGTTTTGGTTAAGAAAACCCCTGCTATAAGTGATTTGTATCCTTAAGCCCCAGCTGCGAATGTGAATAGGCTGTGCCTTTGTCAGACTTTATATACTTTATTGTTCATTGATGTAAATACGGATGCATTTTATAACGGCAGCTGTTAGTTCGGATATCGTTCAACAACGTACATGATACTTACCATTAATATTACCATGCTTTCGTGGTCAATGAACTACACTGCAAACTCAATTACGTTACACGGTATTGTGTGCGCTTTCTCTGGCTTAAAAGCGCCGTCGAATGGCGCACCCAGTCCAGCTTCGAAACGCCTGTTATCGCCGGGATACAACATTAAATGCGGACAGTATAACTTTGTATGCGCATTCGTAAGCGGTATATAGAAACAAATTTACTGCGTTGTTTGTCGATCGCCAGTTTTGAGACACACCGCCGTTGTATGGTTTGATCTGACGTGAGTATCATCCAGTCCTTCGTAGAATTCCTGTTTAACTTCAAATACTTCCTTCAATAACCGCCTATTGAATAGTTATGGCCGCGGATAATCGGCATTGCGCAGATTATGTCTGAATTGCAGCGAAAATTAATAAAAATGACAAAGTTCAAACTTTATTGTTCAGTGCAGTCCTGTGCTTGCGTGCATCGATTACATTTCGAGCGTCATCTGTTAACAAGCAGAAAACGTAAAAATATACCTCCCGTAAGCGGTTTTATATACAATCGTGCCTAACAGTGGGGGAAGGGGGTGGGGTATAAGGGAGTGACACATGTAATCTAATATTATGCGTACGCCGTACAGAAAGATACGAAAATGCCATGGCTTTCGGAAGTTCTCCATGTCCAGCTGTCTCATATCCGGCGCAAGTGATGATGAGCGACACATGTGCAAAGTATAAAATACATACAACGTTACGTTTGGAGCACGATTTGCTAGTATTAATTTATCGCTCAAATTCAACCAAATAACCGAAACAGAACGTGTTCAGAAAATCTTGTCGGCCTCAGAGTTAGCACTGAACGACGGCTCAGAATTATCATAAATTTATACGGTTTTAATTGTAAGATCCACAGAAACGCGTATCTAATAATTACTGTCTGCACTCTCCGCCCTGAGATGCACGTCGAAAATTCAAATACGACCAGTAAAGGTGATGAATCAACGTTGAAGTTAGTTCTTGCAGTATTTTGGCAAGACTTAATCATTACCTAGGTTGGCTCTCCGTTACTGACAAATAATGCGCACAACAAGTGGAAGATTTGGTTGTGGAATAGCCGATATAATAATTTTGCATTCTGCTCGGGAGCTGGTTAAGTATACTACTTCTTGGCATTGCAGAAGGTTTGATATAATCATATACGTACTGTGAGGTTTAACATTCTGAGATTAGTAATCAACAGAAGTCACCGCGCGTGAGCGTTCTTTGCTTATCTGCGAAATAATAAGGAAAAAAACGCACTCTAAATTCGTATACAGTAACCAGCAACCAAATAGTGTTAGGATCGATTCAGTTAGAGCAAGGTTGCACATCATGGAAGTCCATCCGCAAGAGCAAAAGCGAAACAGCAGTGCCCAGTATGTGTATAACTTGTAACCGTAATACATGTATTCTGATTACATAAAACAGTTGAAGTCCATAAGCCCGGCATTTCTAAGCAGGCCTCTTAATACGTGTTTGATCGATCGCATTAAGGAACTCGGGTAAGATGAAATTCATAATGTCGCTGAACTTAAAATCGGGAAGGGGAAAGAGCTCCGTGTAACAGGATACCGACGGATCGTGCAGACTGCAAGCTTCGTTGAAGTAGTGGAAATAATCGGTACGATCCCGGGTCTCCTCTTCGTATCCGTAGGCTTGAACGGTAATAACCGCGTTGGCCGGGTCGGCGTTGATCAGCCGGTGAGTTTGGTAAATGGAGTCGGCCATCCACGTGTATTCTCCTGCTGTCAGATTTGTCGTGCTCACCAGAATAGGGCGCTCCCGCATCCGATCCATCATTGGGTTGTAAAATTCAAAGATAGGTTTCCCGTATAATACCTGTGAAGGTCACATCAAACCCAAATTAAATACTGTGCATTAGCTTCCTTAGCAAGATGTCAACCGGAGAATATGATTCACCTTAATGACAGCAGAAGCGTTGCCATGATCACGAATCGGGCTGGATCCGCCGGGAACCACCACCTCCAGTACAATATCCTGACCTGGCGCGGTTCGCCGGGCGGAGCGGAAATCCGCCCGCAGATATCGCTTTAAACCCGGCTTTTTCTTCTTTTGCAGGATGTTGTACAGGAAACTGCCCGGTGTCTGCACCGAGTACTGCAGGGCCACGATTTCCTCTTCAGTTAGCTCGAGTTTGATTACCTCTTCCAGCAATCCCCGTGCCGCTAAAGGCAAACCGGCTACCGGTAAGTAGAACTGTCCTATTGCTTATGCTCGTGCTCACGGCGTCGTTGTTCTGGAAGAATCAACTTGGGCGAAGGATCCAACACAATGGGCTCGCTTGTGACCACAGGCTGCCGCACCAACCTTACGTCATTAATCTGGATGTACTGTATTTGGTTTATGAAGGCGTCGATCTGATAGTTTTTCGGAACCTTTCGGCGATCGGGACTGAATGTAAAGAGTGTGTTGGCGTCCATTGGATAACCGTAGCCGACTTTGATGAACGCCGGTTCGCGGGCTGAGACGGACACCCAGATGGATATCCACGGGTCGCGGCTCTGCGTCAAACTGAGCTTTGGTACGCGGAGTGAGGGTCTGCGTAAAGTTTGGGTGGCTAAAGGTTGCCTTGACATCGTGAACAATTAGGTCATTGATGAAGAAATGCGTGTCCGTAATGCCATACAGAGAAAGCCAAAAACTACGGTTAGGAGGTACGATGTCAAATCTTAGGCCTCGTCCCGAATTCGAAGCGAATCTCGTTGCGATACAGCAACTCCACCTCGCGAGGTGGCTTCGCGTACCGTATCTGTAGGCGTGGCCACTGCATGCAGCCACCTCGTGCGGTTGAGCAACCGTACGAGGTGGCTGCATGCAGTGGCCACGCCTTCAAAGTGAATCTCGCCGAGATTCACTTTGAATTCGGGACAAGGCCTTACTGTTCCGCGACCTGCAAAGCGTATAACTATAAACATCTACAGTAGATATTCAGTTGACGTTTAACCACTCGTTTAAACCTTACCGCGATGGCGCAGTGGCGCACCTTACCATGAGGCGGTCAATGACTTATTGGGACTGAGCGTTAGGACATCGGTTACATTGCAGGAATCCGGATACGCATTACAAGGGATAGGCTGTTCGGCCGGTAAATTTAAAGGTTCATTGCCCAAAAGCGCGGCAGAATTGCTGTAATGCAGAGTACCGAAAAATATCAGAGCAACCAAACTCAATACGTGGATAGCCATGATACATGGGTAAATAATGATCGATACGCTTTTCACCACAAGTTAAAAGCAAGAGGAATACGAAAGACTGTCAATTTAGTCATCGTTTACCCCTTCCATCCCTAGGCTCCAAGCGTCTGCGACAGACCAACGGACTTTATATGTTGCTCTTGGTTGGCCAATTGTTAATTCTGAGATCACTCAGTGACGTTTGATTTCGAAATTTGAACTGCCATGTGTTCTCTTTGCAAGCACACTTATTTCTCTCTATAGTGGGAGCAGTTCCTCGGACTTAAACGAGCCGCCAGGCGGCACACCCAAGTCCGGGGTAAAAGCGCCTGCTAACGACAAAATGCAGCACTAGGCAAATGCAGCAAAGTGTAATTTTGCATGAGCTTTCATAGCGCTAAGTAAGGTTTACGCTTTTACTGCCTTATTTGTTTACAGCTAGTTTTGAAACATACCGCTCCTTATGGTTTGGTTTGACGTGCAGATTTGACCATTTGTACCGAGTTTATTTGGTTTTGAACTTTAGATATGACATCACGTTAAGTTTATTATTATTGTCATTACTAAGCCAATATACAAAAAAAGAAGAGTAAAAAAAAGTAAAAAGAGCGTGTAGAGTAAAAAGAAGTAAAGAAATTACTACTGGAGAAAAAGTAAAGAATTTCCTAATTAAATGCAGAGACCGTTTTGCCATAATTATGCCGATGTCAGCAGTCGGTTTGGAATTTTCATACTTTGAGCGAGCGTTGCGTTTTAAGCCAGAAGCGGGCTTCTACTCTGCGCAATCCGTCCTCAACAAAGCTGTGCACTGGTTTCATTCAGCGTGTCTCGACTTTTCAGAACTGGATACGATATTGTATTAACGTACGCCATAAAAAACCGGCACTTTTCGGGCAGCTGCTTGTCGCCATGGTCAGCTATACTCTGTGGACTCTATGCCGTACATAGTCGCTCCAGCGTTTTTCGATTTACCCGTATTGCAGAACAGACGTATTGCCTTTGGCTTCGACCTTTTTTTCCCAGGCGACGCATTTGTGCGGCACCACTGTTAACAACAGAACGCATAACCACACCAATCCGCGCCATACCTCCCATTAGTGAAAAAGAATTTCAAGCACAAAGCGGAAACAAAGTTTTATCTTGCTGTCCAACTTCTGTTCTTCGCTAAGTAAAAAACAAATGTGCTTTGACCTATGTACGTTACGGTTGCATAACATAAAATTATTAGCAAATACACTGGTGGGTCTGCATGTCCAGTAGATGCTTGCTCAGCGATATCATACAGATTTTAAGACGATGGCGCTTGAAGAAAGAAAAACAATGCTCCAATATGTCTCCACAGAAATTCGAGTAAAGCGCCTCAAGCACAGCCTGTTAAAATGTCACATACTCTCGTTGAAATAAGAGCTTCGGGCTTGTGTTTGTCTCCATGTTTTTCGCCTTTGCTAGTCAGTCAATGGTCTCAGGAGCGTATGTTTATCTGGGCGCATGTTATGTTTAGCATAACAGTGATCATGTGCAATTCTGAAGCGGCCAGATTCCTACTGTTTTAATGCGATACTTTTTTTTCTCAGATTTTTTTATCTTCTGGTGGATGCAACTAAGCTAGTCGTCTTCTGTTGGTGTATCGCATTTATTACCGCATCTAGCATTTCCATTCAGCTTCTGCATCCAGTTTGTCATAGTTTTCTTCAAAACTTACAAAAACCGTGTTTGTTTCAGAATGTGTTACTATCAAAACTAGTATAAATGATGCAGTTGCCCAAATAAAATAAAAAATATCGTAACTATCGGAACGAAGTACTCCATGTGCATCGTGTGGAGATCTGCAAGACAGAATGATATTTTAAAAGAAATCGATATAACGCATAAATCAAAGTCATACTTTCGGCTCCGCTTTTTTTCGTTGTGGTTGCCGTGGCTGCTGTTGTTGCTGCAGTGGTACTCTCGTTTGCTTTTTCTCGGCAATGTAGCGTTTCTCCACTCCAGCTTCCGTCTTCTTTGCACGTTAACGTCCGACTGCCGGATGCGATGACAAAATTGCTATTCTTGCATTTTAACGTGATGCTGTTGCCGGTAATAAACGAAACATTGGACGCGATCATGGCTGTCTCATCAATCACAGGCTGTTGGCAACCTATGAAATCGTACGTTTCGCGGCATATCATTACTTAAGAGCGTTAAGAATTCCAGACGAAATTCGGTCTCAACGCTTACCGGTAGAAACTGACACTTTGAACTCCTTCTCGACATCTTTAGCGAATTTCAATGTAGCTTGACCCAGACGAATATTCCCGGTCGCCGCCACGTCGAACAGGCATTCCGTGTTATTGCCACAAATTTCTTTGACTTTTTGCTTAAACGTCTCATTCATTGTCTGGGTGACATCGAAGACCGGTCGAAAGTTGGGATCATTGATGGTATCATACGTTTCCGGCGATTCATAAATAAAAAGCGTCTCCGCTGCGGTGACTCGCCCTGCAACACTGCTGTATGAATCACAGCAATGAAAAAGTATTGAGAAATGTCATACATGTCTCTCCAAATGCCGTGAATATGTGTTCCGTGGACGAGTTATGGGGAACTGGGTTCTTGGCGCCTCGTGGATAAAGGTCGTCTGTCGGATCATTGTTGCATCGCCCGAGTAAGCCGCTGGTATTCCCTTGCTGCAGATCACTGGGTAGTAAAATCTGGAACTGCAGCGTTGCTTCGTTCTCCTCTACTTCGACCAGGATTCCCGACGGGAGACTGGCGCTGACTTTGTGCAGGCCGAATCCGGGACGGCGCTCCGTAGTGATCAATGCATCTTTAAAATAATCGTACTAAAACCTTCTCAGTAAAATGGTATTTATGACTTTTCTGGTACCTCCTTGTGTAGAACGATTGACAATTCGATGTGGCTCAACCAGCTTGTTATCGATGTACAGATCGGGGGCACGCCGGTCAGCGGTGAAGCTAAGTTGTACTGTTACGTTGGCGGTGGCGAATACTAAGCCGGTCCAGATTGTTGCGTTCAAATCACTACCTGCAAACAGGAGTAATATAACTGACGTCGGCAATCTCTGCTACGGATATGAACTGCTTTCTGTTGCAACAGACCCTGGGCTGTTTTGACTTTCGAGGTGCGTCCTTGCACGGTAATCACACCAGGCACTTGCACCACAACATATTCGCCCAATCCGTTAAAGGTGTATTTCAGACCGTCATATGTCTGTATATGCGGATCTCCGAAACCGCCACCTGTGCGCAAACGTTGTTTCTCCTATGCTAAACTAATGACGCCGAGATAGAAATTTATACAGACCTGGTCTAGGTGGTACATAGCATTTCGACGAACTGCTGCGTCGTTGCTGACGAAACATCTGGCAGCTATTACTCGCCCAGTCTCCCGACAAAGCGCAGCACTTTCGCACCGGCACCTGGTTGACCACGACCTCTTCCAATTGCCTGGCTATCCAATTCCAATAGTATGTGCCGTCTGGTTCGACGGTGTGCCAGTTAAAGATATTATTCAGCTTGGTCCAACCGGCACTTGTGTGTATCGGCGATGGAAGCAGGTTTCCGTCTTGTCCATAGCAGCACTGCTGCTGATAGCGCCACGATCGCGAGAAACCCGTTACGCAGAGCGACGCTCCGGGATTCTCCACACAATCACCGGCCGGCCACATTAGCATACTCGATTCATTGTGCCGGTTACAGGCGCTGGAATCCGATGGCACGTAGAACCGGCCACGACTGAGAAAGGCTTGCATGATATTTGGCGGGCAACCGTTGAATTCGCCACCACAATTGTCCGGATCCACACTTCTACGAGACCAGCGGCATTCTAGGTTGCATTATCGCAAATAACGCAACGCAAAAACGCAACGCAACGCAACGCAAAAACTATGCACATCTTACTGCATCACGCTTTGCTCGGCGTCCTTCCAACACGAACAGAAATCACCGGCTGCTGAACATTTACCAATTTTGTAAATAAGTCGTAGTCGGTCGTTCTGCTCTTCGCTGTTTGCGGTGAAGTTGCGGCTAACGGTCATGGAAAGTGTCGTGTTATCCCCCACTCCAATGGCACGCTCCGCCTCCCTTCCATACTTGGCCGTTATGATCTTATGGATCGTGTATAAAGTGCCGTTGTGTGAAACTCCTGGCTCAGACGAATTGTCAGAAACGGACGTCAAGTTTGTGGAAAGTTTCTCTAATACGCCCATGTCCGATAATTCCGACCATAGCGATATCGCGCTGATTTCCTTCTCCGTTTGGTGAACAAGCAGCGTTCGATCCGTATATTTCATGATACGGAATGTTCCGCTCAGGAAGAGTTTTGATGATGCCAAAGTTCCGAAATTTATTTGGGATAAGGAGATACTGATTTTCCCAGAATTTGCTGCAGAAGGTATCAATGGCAGGAACATTACGTGCACACTATCATGGCTGAAAACAGAGAAAACTATTTTATTTCCTTTGATCACTGATCGCGTTCGTACATAGTACTACATACTCGTACCTCATGTACCATCCGATAAAATCAACGGAGACGTTGGTGTCGTTGTTGGAGCTCAGTTGATATGGATCCCAAGCCAGCTGGATGACGGCTGCACCGGACTGTGACATCCACGTACTGCGGTTGACAAGCTTTACGGGATGTGTATACCAATCTGCAATAAGAAAAAAATAAACTCAGATTCCCAGGCAAAAATATATATTATTCATTATCCTTGAAATTTGCTCTAGCCAATTCTTCGCCCACTTTACCTTGATGATGATAGCCGGTGTATGGATACGTAACACCGCCGTCAACGGAAACGTTAAACATCCAGTGACCTTTATAATTCAGCACTGGAGTGACACATTGTATGGATCCGAGTTCTCCGCGGTACGCTTTGACCACGCGGTCGCCAAAGCGGCAGTATACTGAATTGTTTTGCTGGTTTTGGTTCAGACAGATCCCGCTGATCTTCAACTTTGTCCCACCCAAGACGGATCCGTACCATGGACTGACGAACAGATTCCTGTCTGTACATCCATGGTTGAACTGCATGTTTCCGCTAACGTAGAAGCGGACTTACTTTCAGAAATCGTACAGGTTAGCGGTGTGACTGAGTCGCCATCCAGTCGGAAAACTGAGCTGCCGCCCTGTATCGGACTCGCAGTAGTCCAGCACTCTGAACGAAAACCTGTAAATAATTATTTAGCAAACAGTGTTATAATTTCCCATACCTTTTTTATAGACAGATTAATTTTAACCATGCAGTTGCACGGTATAAGGCTAAACCAGAAGCAAAATTCTAAAATGCGAAAGAGAGCTTTTGTTCTGTAGAAGAGACTGCAAACAGCCAAAAGTTCTGTACATCTGTACATTGATATACCTAGCCATGCGTGAGAGCCGTCGTAAGTCCATCGATGGTCTTCTTTTGTGTTGTTAAACGCTGTGGCAATGGCGAACGAATAGCGTCCGTCAGTGGTCAGAGTCATTTGAATTCCGTCCTCGATTTCTGCACCCTATTTATTAGTAGTAAAATCAACTGAAGTTGCGTAAAAGTCTGACAACGTTTTTAGTTTCCAGTACTTACTTGAACAGCATGACAGGAGCTGGTGTTGCCTCTTCGATATCGCACGAACGTGAAGATGAACGCCCACTGCGGACTAAAAAACTGATAGGCAGGGTCACTCGTTCTGAAAAGCAGTAGCATATTCATTGCTCGAAAAACTACTTTACCTAAAATCAGTATAATCCTAACTCGACAATGGCAGACTCAAGTTACAACATTTACGATCAAAATGTCTTGCATACTTGATGTAAACTTTAATCTTTTCGCGCACTGGAGATTCGCTGTCCATATCGGTGACGAATCGGTAGTGGAAAGCTGTTGCCGGCCGTATTGTTCCGTTAGTGTCGTTGCATTCTGTGTCCCAGAAGCCTTCATCCCACTGCAAATCGAGCTTCAAGGGGCTGGGAGAGGTGGACTGTAGTGGTCCCATTTCTGGCCCTTTGTTGAACAGATGCCCGTTCATGCATGGCCTGCTTCCTGGTTGTTGGTAATGATGGCCATTAGCCGTAACCTAGCGAAAACAATGCCCAAAAAGCTAGCAATTAAATCACTTCATTTTTATTAATTTTTACGTTGTTATACCAGGCGAGCAAATATGCACTGTGCCCTCATCCTTCACTTACATGTAAAATACTGATACGGTCCTTTAGGAAAGGAAACGGACTTGTAAAAGATATATTTTTCCCCGATGCCCCATAAGGTAACGATCCCAGTAGATTGTGTCCAGAAGCGCCAAACTCTTCAAGAAATTCTCCAAATGACAAAACAGACCAACAAACTAGGAGATACAAAAACCACGGAAGCACTTGAGGAAACATTCTTATATTATGGGATGCACAGTCGACACTTTCCGGGTAACAGCGTTCGGGTGGAATGCCCCTGCAGATGGAATGCCGGAACGATCGTTCTTGACGTGCAGTAAAAACTGCCGCTGCTGGGTTATCGGTCGTCTAGCGAAAATTCACCACGTGCTTTACGGCACTGTAGTGTTTAGTGTAGATTTAACGAGGTCTACGACAATATAATAAACTTTATGTCGGTTCCTGCTTGGATATGGCTTGTTTGCGGTGTAATATTAATATGCTGCGGAAAATGCAAATTCCAAAGCCAAGGTACACATGCGTGTTGACAAACAAACAGATCTTTACAAGTGCAATTAGTTGTACATTGCCTTAGCTCTAGCTGGAGGTCACCTATAGTGTATATTGACTACTTTTACCTGAGTTAATTATTTCGCATTTACAGCCGAGCTGTCGAGATTGTCGCTTGTAAATGCCAGTGCAGAACAACTAATACATACATACAACGCCATGATAAATGCTCAGAATTACAACGAACTTTGCGTTATTACTTTACGCCGTTTAAACGGGAAGTCGCAAAACAATAGTGCTGCAATGATTGCCTGAGAATGGATGCAATGTTCGGTGCCTGTACAAAGAAGAACGACGACACCCCCGCCTGCGATTGGTTTAATTTAGATTGATTTTATGTTTCGCATAAACGATTTTTATTTGCTTTATTAAACAATATGACGTTCGAAAATCGAATTTACTGCTAAAAAATAAGCAGAATATTATGTGATTTGATTAATGTACGACACGATAAGAATGACCAAAGACCGAATTCAGTGTGCTAGAGTAATTCAGAGCAGGTGTTCATATTAGCGTACGTAAGCATCAGTACTAGAGTCCAATATACATACATAACTAATTAACATTGCGTTGCACATAAAACTTTCAGAATCTGTACAGCAAAAAAAAACAAACGGTTAGCCTCGGTTAGCTTCTTGCTTGGTGCTTCTTAATTTTGGTTCGATGTGATCCTTTGGACCATCAATTTCAACAGGTCGATCTTAACTCGCTAAAAATTTCCAAAGATGAAACTAGAAGTTCGACAAGGAAGTTCCGCGCAATCCGAGCATCTGCATCTGGAAGGGAAGATTTATAAAGCTGTACGTTGCAGCTCTAACATTAATTTTAAGGAATAATCTGGATACAACAAGTAACGGTTGTCAGTGTTCGCCGGTACTGAAATGATTCTCCTACCAAGTGTCCGTTTTGAGCGAACTACAGAGTACGATCGCCTCTTAATGCAGTATATCCATCATTATGACATTTGAACACGAATGATATTTCAAACAAAAACTTTAAATAAACATCCTACACTGATTAGGTTGAAAAATGACACTTATTTATTGCTTTTAAAGAAGGCGAAATTTATTATTATTTCTAGTTTAACGTAACAGCTGTTTAGTTAAGCCACGCGTCCAGTTACTGCGGTAATTCCGTTCGTATATATAGTTGCTTTTGATAAATAATATCGTCGGTCTAAACGGTTTTTCAGTCTGTTTGCGAGTTCCGGCAAAGGTAACGCTTTTAAGACACGGGCCTTGCATAAATTTGCGGCAAGCTGGTTTTTTGCGATCGTTTGTCACTCATTGTCGTCGGTGTTGCAGTATGTGTGGTCCGTGGACCGTAAATTAATATACAAAGTCAGAAGTAGCGTTTAACCACGGACAAAATGCGATGTGTTCATTCTTCTCCAATTCTTCTGCTTTTCATCATATATCAATGCCATTCTGCTGTCCGTCGAAAAATATCCCGCGACGATTGGGATGCGGTTTTCCAGGATTTCTTTTGGCGTTCAGCATGCATTTGACAAAATTCAGTCAGCCAGTTTTAAGAAAACCAACCAATTATTTAGGGAGAAACACGCTTTTAAAGCAGATGTTCCTAAAGTTTGCCGGCATATTACCATAGATCCTGATCCATTCGGCTTGCTACCGCAATTCCAGGATGGAAAATCAAACGGCGAGCAATCAGCAGACCAGAGGAAATTTAAGAAAGTGCATCGTACAGGAAATTTGCCTCTGGAAGCGCTCGGTGATTTAAAGATTAACGGTGGCAGGAACACCAGTACATCGGTCGCTTGCTGGCAGGTAAACTATCAACCAATCTTCCAGCAGCTAAGATGCTGAATTCCATTTGAATTGCTTTTTAATATTAATAAAACTAAAGACTACTTTCAATGCAAAAACTCTTTGCAGGTCTTTATTGTAGCACACACATCCGACGGCGTACGACAGTCATGCGGTGGAGTGATTATCGGTAGTCGCACGGTTCTGACTACTGCTGGCTGTTTAGTGGACAGCATTACGAGGTTTTACCGATTTCGTAACGCAGTTTGGTGGTTTACTTAATGCAAGAGTTTTTTTACAGGTTGGGCTTGCCATTGGAAAGCATCCAGGTGATCGTCGGCGCTCTCGACAGCAACGCACCGGCGTCAAATGCCGACGACTTTATCGGATGTGCTGAGACGTTCAATGTGTCAACGTATATGCTCCACCCGGATTATAATGACGCGTTGGCTAACAACGATATCGCCATCCTAACCGTGACCCCGCCCATCGACGTTGACCACAAACCGTGCGCTTGCATCCTGTGCTTCAGTAGCCGACAACCCAGTGTTGGCGAGACCTGCGCTGTCACGGGTTACGGTGCCGCAAGTATGTGGGAATGTTACCGAGAATTAATAATATAGTTACGGCTGAGTCGCGCTGACACTCAGCATGCTTCTTTCCCCCCTTTTTTTAACTGTTACGCTTTAGTGAATGGCTGCTTTGTCAGCCCCCAAATTTACGAAATGAGAGTACGTCGTAAAGTATTAATCACCTATTTTTATATTGCCAGTAAACAATTCAGCGATTATTCTAGAACCCGTAGTTTGTAAAGATGCTATTTCATGTTTTCCTACGGTAGTTAATGCGAAAAATCCACTGCAATGGATTCGTCAAGAGATTGTCAATCAAGACGTTTCGATATGTCCTGAATGGACGAATACAAACGGAACGCTGATCACGAATACAACGGGGTACATTTGTACACAAAGCCCGCCTACTGGAAATCCTGTCCTTGGAGACGGCGGTGCGTATTTCTTTCTAATTTTCCTTGAGCAGGTATTTTCTACAACAAGCGCTTGTTACAATCAACTAGAACAAGACATCTTGCAGGTGGAGCACTGGTTTGTCTGGATCCTTCCAGTAATACATACTATCTAGCCGGCATCCTGGCTTTTGGCGATCGAGGTTTCAGCCAGAACGTAAATGTCGCACTGTATCTCTCGTGGATTTCAGAAAGCTCCATCCCAGGAGATATTACTGTACCGGGCTTGGGCAGCCCAGCTCCCACAATTACAACATCCCTGCCTTTCACATCTCCCACTATGGCGCCCCGGACAACGCCGCATCCCTTTACCCCTCTTCCACCACCACCGCCCACGACACCGGGAATCACCGAAGCCTGCGGAATACCGCGAAACGGTGGAATGGACCCGTTCGGCATCGTAGGGTCGCGAGGGCAATTACCATTCGAAGTGACACATCTCGGGAAACTACGGGCCACCCGTCAACGCCGCAATCTCGATGCGAACGCCGAGCTGGAAGCGCGTATCATCGGTGGATTCGGTTCTTTTCCAGAGATCGTTTGTTGGCAGGCGTTTATGGTGGTGGACCAGGGAAATGAGACTGACGTCACGTGTGGTGGGGTAATCCTCGGGTCACGAACGATCTTAACGGCCGCAGCTTGCATGATGGACGCGGATGGAAACATGATCCGTAATACGAGCAAGATCACAGTCACGGTGGGCGCACTGAACAGTGATGCTCCCGCAAGTAACATTCAGGATCTGTCGAGATGCGCGCAATGGTTTGCCGTGCAGAGTGTCATCCCGCATCCCGATTTCTATGGACCAACTGCCGATAATAATATTGGTAAACTGAACTTATATTATAGAAGGAAGTCAGTAGCGCATGAGACACTTACCCTGAACTGCTCCAGTCATCCGCCCGGAGATTCGCGTCACGGTTACACATTGCGGCTGTGCAGTCGTTGTGGTCAAATTCCGGTCCAAAGACTGGAGCAGTACAGGGTAGTTCGTAGTGCGCTGCTGAAACATGAATTGACAAGATAAGTATCATAAGTTGACAAACATGGATTTTCTCCTACTGGTTCTTAAGAATTCGAATTTACAGCATCGATCGCTCTGCCGTGGCAATCGGTATGCGTTCTTCGGAGACCGGTGATCAAATAAGTAAAGTAATCTTTGCAGGACTACTGATTTTGTCCAGTCCCATTGACCTGGTCAGGAAGCCATGCGCTTGCCCGCTATGTTTGTCCGATCACGTGCCGCAGATTAACGAGACATGCGTTATGAGTGGTTACGGAGCAGAAGGCAATGCGAACGACACCAGTAAGTCAGGCAGCATATCCAACATCGCTTCCAACCGTATAATTATAATAACACTGACATATTTCTCACAGCGCAGCGCACGACAGTCCCGTTGAAATGGGTCGTGCAGAAGATCGTTCTGCAGTCCAATACATGCCAGTCGATGTGCGATAGGTTCGGCCGCTGCACCGATCGGAGCAACTTCATGTACGTTGACCTTTGCGATTTTCGTTAATGTAATGGATTCGTTTGAAGAAGCGATGGCGTTGCAGTTGTAGCCAAGGTGTATGGGGACAGGATCAGTGCACCGGAGACAACGGTGGCCCGCTGTTTTGCTACGATTCCACCCACAATAACTACTACTTGGCGGGAGTGATTGCGTTTACATCGAGCTTCTGTGGGGCGGGTCTCGGTGGGCAGAGTGTACAGGTGACGCGCTATTTGCAGTGGATAGTGAACAACGCGATTCCGGGTGATGTGCAAGTGCAGAAAGCTGATGCTTTCAGCACAACGAGAACCCCTTCTCAGCGGACAACGACTACGCCAGTCCAGCGCACAACAACGTTCCCAGGCATCACTACCTCGCGCATAACTACAACTCAGAAGTACGAATACTATGGTTTAGGCAGACTGAATCTGTGGCCGTAGTCGGTGAAAGCGCACCATGGTTCGGGACAAAACGGGAAAAACGAAGGGAGGAATCTGATTCTGTTTGTCGTAATTGGAAAAATAGCGACAAAAGTGCTACCATTAAACTAAAAAAGCGCGGAATGTGACTCTATATAACTCTACGAAGTGTTATAGCCATTAGTAAACGGAAATATGCATGCAATGGTTCTCACCATTGCCGGCATTGTCGCTTGCCCAGCGGTTACATCATGGATAATTTTGGATCTATCTGCGGATACGTTTGTGACGACTGACTTGTATCTACAAAGTACTGCTGGCTTTTGTACGTAGTGCAATACACGAGCCCGGTTAACTACTTCCGTAAGTTATCTTAAAAAGCAAAATGCGATGCATCCATGAATGGTACCGATTCACGGCACCTTACGTATTCATGCAGCCTAATTTAGAACATGTAACAACGATCTCAGGTAGTTATTATGACACCTTTTCTGCCTCGTCGCAAACTTTTTGTAATGCGGGTTATAAACAATGTAAGGTCAAAACATTTCGGCCAACTTTACATGAAATCGTCACAAATAGAAAATGTAAACAATAAATGACGACAAATCAATGTAACCAGCATGATCATCGAAAGACACAATTGTCGATTATTATAATTTGACTAAATTTCTATTCGAATTACCAGTACGCTGCATACGTGGTTCATTTTGAAATTAGACATACAGAGTAAGTATTTTGTTTTCTTGTGGTTATCCCATATTGTTGTAAAGACAGTTGTAGTTTGTTGTTGTTCCCTCAGACGGAATCGGCGACACTAGTTGTAAATCTTCGTCTTACACATCGGCAGTCCACTGGCCACTGTCCACTACAAATACTGGGCCACTTCCACGTATTCCTCGCCACGACACGCAACGCCTCGGCCGCGGCTAAAAGTAGTTGTTGCGCGTGGGATCGATAATTAAGTACCTCTACATTGAAATAATTACCTTATAGGCGAAAAATCCCTTTGCAAACTTTTTATTGCTTGTACTCGTTGAATAATTTAAGGAGGAATAACGGACAGCGGCTTGCTTGAATTGTGTTTGCTTGCTTGAATTTCGTTTACGGCTTGCCTTCCCTTTCATTTACGAAAAATTAGCAACCCCGGGACACCAACTGGTGAAACACGGCATGCTAAAAAGCGACTTCGTTACCAATTGTCCATTAAAAGATGAAATTTTTTGCATAATTCCAGTTTACTGACTATTTTCCACTATTAGAGAAACCTGGTATCCAGCTGCTGCGGTAAGTTTATTCATAGTCTGTTTTAATAAATGGCTTATGTATTTCTCTATCGGACACTTTTTCGAATCCGTTAGCGAGATCCGGCAAAGGTAACGCTTGGAAGATAAGAGGCGTGCATAAATTTACGGTTAAACGTTTTTGCGATAGTTTGGCACCTGTCGGCAGTCGCCACCTCAGTCTCTGTACTCGTAACCACAGCAAAAACATCAAGTCAGCTGCTTACACTGAGAAAATGCGATGCGTGTATTCTTCTCTAATCTTTTTACTTCTCACTATACACGAATGCCATTCGGCTATCCGGCGAAACATATCCCGCGACGACTGGGACGCGGCTTTCCAAGATTTCTTTGGCGTTCAACACGCGTTTGATAAGATTCAGTCAACCAGTTTTACGAATGACAATCGTGTATCCAGGGAGAAACATGCTTTTAAAGCAGATGTTCCAAAAGCTTGCCGGCATGTAGGAATCGATCCTGATCCATTTGGTTTGCTGCCGCAATTCCAGGACGGAAAGCTAAATGCTGAAAAATTAGCAGACAAAAGAAAATCGAAGAAAGTGCACCGTACAGGGAATTTGCCCCCGGACATACCTTCTGATTTCAAACTTAACGGTGGCCGAAATACCAGTACATCGATTGTTTGCTGGCAGGTGAATATTAAGAATAGCCAATATTCCAGCAGCTAAAGCATCGCCTTTTTATTGCAAGGCTTTTTAAAAATTAGATGAACTAATGACTTTGAATGAATAAAAAAAATAAAATAAAAAAAAATAAAAAAAATTTTGAATAAAAAAAATTTTGCAGGTCCTTATTGTCGCACACACACTGGACGGCCAACGACAGACGTGTGGCGGAGTGATTATCGGCAGTCGAACAGTTCTCACCACGGCCGGCTGTTTAGTGGACAGTATTACAAGGTTTGAATAATTTCAAAACGCAGTTTTGTGGTTTATTTATTACCGGAATTTTTTCCAGGTTGGGCCTGCCATTGGACAACATCCAGGTCATCGTGGGTGCTCTCGACAGCAACGCACCGGCATCTAATGCCGATGATTTTATCGAATGTGCTGAGACGTTCAATGTATCAACGTACATATTCCACCCGGATTATGACGACGCGCTAGCCAACAACGATATCGCCATCGTCACAGTGGCGTCGCCGATCGACGTGGACCACAAGCCGTGCGTCTGCGTTCTGTGTTTTAGCAGCCGACAGCCCAGTGTGGGCGAGACCTGTGCCATTACTGGATACGGTGCTAACGGTATGTGGTATGGTATCGGAATTACTGGAAGAGTAAAGATCTTATTAAATTATATTTAACTGCAGAGCTTACTGAAGAGCTTGCGAGTACGCTTTTTCGGCCTTTCTAACCGTTTCTGTTTAATAAATGGCCGTAAAATATTTTATGTCTCAATATGTGCAAGGCGAGCTTCGCTCAACAAACATGATCAAATGAAGAATTTGTCCCAATTAACATGGGAAGGGACCGTGCACAATACACTCATTGCATTACCACGCATAATCTCCAAACTTAAACGCTGAAACAGAAAACAAGTAGAGCGACTCTCACCCGTCCTTAAAAACAACTTCTTACCGATCTCCTTTAACGTTACAATGCCGGTCTCACACCAAGTGCCAAAAGTCTCACATGCAAAGGCGACAAAATTACAGCGATCAGTAAGCGACTTGTATTTTCCAATCTTCTCCCGGCATGCCAGTTCGGCGGCAGCGCCAGCACACTTTTTATGTCTGCCGTAACTGAATCAACGTTTATTCGACACCGCATTTGGTAGTATATAATTCTCTTACATATTTTAAATCGGTAGGTAATGAGGTGAAGCCACTACAATGGGCAAATCAAGAGATTATCAAACAAGCCAATGACGATGTGACATGTCCGCGGTATTTAAAACCAAACGGAACACTGACCACAAACACAACGGAGTACATATGCACTCAAAGCCAGCCTGATGGATATCCTGGCCCTCGAGATGCCGGTGCGTATTTATAGCAAAGCGGCCAAGGCCTGAACATTTTCCTTGAGGAATTGAATTTTACAACAAGCGCTTGGTATAATCAACTAGTAAGATACATGTTGCAGGTGGAGCACTGGTTTGTCTGGATCCTTCCAGCAATACGTACTACCTCGCCGGGATTTTGGCTTTTCCCATTATGACGGCAGCCAGAACGTGAATGTCGCACTGTATCTGTCGTGGATTTTAGAGAATTCCGTTCCAGGAGATATCACTGTACCGGGCTTGGGCAGTCCGCCTCCGAATGTGACAACATCCATGCCTTCCACAACTTCCATGCTTACTACCACTACGGCGCCAGTGACGACAACGATACCACAGGACATTTCCGAGGCCTGTGGAATCCCTCGCAACGGGGGCGTGGATCCGTTCGGCATCCTGGGTTTACGAGAGAAAGCAGCATCCGGCATGGAGCATCTCGGGCGGTTACGGGCGACACGCCGGCGCCGCACTCGCGATGCAGGGGTCGAGCTGGAAGAGCGTATCATTGGTGGGACTGATTCGTCGCCGACGGTCGTGTGCTGGCAGGCGTTCGTGGTGGTCAATCAAGGAAACGGGACAGAGGTTACTTGCGGTGGCGTTATTCTGGGGTCGTGGACCATCTTGACAGCAGCGTCGTGCATGGTGTACCCAAATGGAACAGCCAATCGTGATCCATCAGTTTACACTGTTACCGTGGGCGCGTTGGACAACGATGCGCCGTTTAGCAACAGCAACGATTCGACTGGGTGTGCGCAAACGTTTTCCGTGCAAAAAGTCTTACCACATGAGGATTTCTATGCGGGAACATTCGATAACGATATCGGTAATTCGTAAATCAATCTCGGATGCTTGTGCAGTATTTTCTAAAAGTAGCTAAACTGCTAAATTTTTAAATAGTAAATTTGTAGATGTTGTTTATCCCGTACCACTCATTTTCTACGGCACTAAGAAAAGACTTATTACTGTTTAAATCGGGCACCGAGGGGAGCCATCGTAGTTATCCTTATGGAAGGTCATCAGTATTCTACGAACGTAAACCTCAACCAATCACTGCAGGAATTCTCATTTTGAGCAACCCAATTGACCTGGCTCAAAAGGCATGTGCCTGCCCGATTTGCCTGATGGACCGCGTGCCAGGGCCTAATGACCGGTGCGTCTTGAGTGGTTACGGAGTGGAAGGCAATGACAACGACACCTGTAAGTTATGCAGCTGCACAACTGTAGCGGTAGATTCAGTACCTTTGCAATATTATATAGCAAACAGGTTTTGTAAGTGGTAGTGTTCGCTGATAATGCACGGTTACATTTATTGCGGCGGAGACGAGCGGTTGATGTGCAAGTTTCGAACTCAGATGTTCGGATGTAAATGCACCGCATTGAACGAAACCGTCAACTCAGAGACGAACATTGCTCTCAGACTACACAAAAGGGCTTGTTAGTGTTAACAATTTTGCAAAAATACAGTACAACCTTGGTGTTCCCCTAGCTCAACGGACGACAGTCCCGCTGAAATGGGTCGTACAGAAAATTATTCTGCAGTCCAACACGTGCCAATCAGTTTGCGATAGGTTCAGCCAATGCACCAATCGCAGCAATTTCATGTACGTTGAGCTTTCGCGATTTTCGTTCATGTAATGATCCTTTGAATCAACGATAGATTTTAGTTGTAGCCAGGGTCTATGGGGACAGGATCAGTGTACGGGAGACAGTGGTGGCCCGCTGTTTTGTTACGACTCCACCCACAGCAACTACTACCTGGCGGGAGTGATTGCGTTCCCAACGAGCTTCTGCGGGGCCGGTCTCGGTGGGCAAAGTGTGCTGGTGGCGCGCTATCTGCAGTGGATTCTGGATCACACGGTTACGGGTGATGTTCAAGTACAGAAAGTGGATGTCTTCACAACAACCACCCCTTTTCAACACACTACAACGTACCCGCGCTACCCAACCACCCCGAAGTACGAATATTATGGCTTAGGCAAACTGCATCTATGGCCCTAGTCATTGGGCGCGCGCCATGATTCAGCACTAAAATTACTGAATACAGTGGGAACAACCTGATTTTGCTAAGCGTGATGCGAAAAAGGCCACGTGAACTGTTATTATAACGAATCTCCGCAATGCGAACGACCAGCCTACAGAGTAGTATTCTGATCGTTAGATTACCAGACTAGTATCGGTAATTCGGATTGACGTGGGCGGTACGCACGTGCCGGTATCATTTTTATCATTTTACTGTATTGGCCATGCAGTTTTTATTGTGCTCCGTGTTGACTGTTTTTTCTCCACTCACCATGGTCAGTCACAACAATGCACTAAATTGCATGCAATAAAAAATAATAATTACAATGACTTTCATTTATCGACAAAATTTTCTGCTTATACTTAAAGGAGCTGTTTTGCAAAAAAGAACGTAATCAAGCAATGACAGGAGGGAACAACCACCAATAATAATCAATGATAATTTAAAACAGTTTTCTAAAACTGGGGACAGGTGCATTCTGTCCGCTGCAAGCAAAAAATGTTTTGCGGATCATCGGCGCAGTCTTCTATAGAAATTTAATCTGATTTGGGAGTCCAGTGGGAATCTGGCCTGACAACGCAACAGAAATCCCGAATCCCTCGTTGTTGGATAAATCTGCCAGAGTTGCTGTTACTCAAACGGTCTCCTTTCTCCGTAGCGCGGCACTTACGAAGGGGAAATGTGTTCAGGATACTCTGCTCCATTTCAAATAAGATCTTGTAGTATAGCGTTTTTCTGTATGGCCACGTGGCAATATCCTTTAGTAATCCGTTGAGTTTGGCCCACCAAGCGCCCGGACTGTCAGCTGATAACAACTTCCCATTTCTCCCATAGCAGCACTCCTGCCGGTAATCCTGGAATGGCCCCGAATCCAGCACACATAACGACGCTCCTATATTCTGCAAGCAGTCACCAGCGGGCCAAAAGATGTTATGGGTGTCCGATTGGTTGTGACAGACGACTGAGGAATCCGGCCGAAATACTGTAAATCGCCGACGATTGAGCCAGGCATGCATATCGTTGGGCGGGCAACATGGAGCCGCGCTGCACACATCTGAGCCGGGCCTACAGATATAAGTATTAGGTAGTGTTTTCATCATAATGTCGACGAAACCACACTATAGCAGCAGCAAACTTACTGACTTTTCTTACAAATTCTCCGTGGTTTTCGTGCCAGTTAGGTTACTGACGAGACATCACAATGACCTTACAGTTAGCTTACCTTGCCAACTTCCGTTCCATCTGCAACCAACATGCACAAAAGTCAGCGGCCAGAGAACATTCGCCTGTCTCTTTGATCATGGATAGTCGATTACTGCAATGTACGTTGAAACTGCAATTGTTCGCAATATCCTTGGGGCTAATGTGAGATAAGGAGAGCGTTGACGAGCCGACAGGCATTCCCAGCACCTTTTCGGCATTTTCTTTGTATAAGGTGGATACCACATCCGGTGCGTCAGGATGCGATCGTCGCAGTCTCTCAAAAATGCTGGCATCCACAAACGCTGACCAAATGGTTTGGAAGCTGAGACTATCATTGCTCGTAACCAGCAGGTCTCTTTCGGAAGCTCTTATCACGCGGAAACATCCCTTTAAAAGTATAGCCGAATCGTCCATTGTGCCGAAGTTTATTTCAGTCAGGTTGAATTGAATGTTGCCAGAATTCGGTGCAGATGGAGTTAATGGTAGGACCATTACACGAAGTTTGTTGTCACTACGAAAAGGATTTCTGATGAAATCCAATTATAACGGTAGCGTGTCCTACTTTCTCGGCTGGACAATGGCCACTGGATCCCTGCCGGCGCGATGTGGACAATGGCTGCCTCACTGTTCCTCGAAAGGAGATGGACAGCCGTTAATAACATCTTGATTGCTTCGTGTCCTAGTTTTGTTAATAGTAGGTTGTTATATAACGCCATCTGGCCAGACTTACACTAATCACTTTTGCTCTCATAACCTTCTCCCGCCCGCCGCTCCTCTTCTTTTCAGTAGGGGGCTCACTGCGTTGAGCTTTCTTTTGTTTTCGTTTTTGTGTTTGGTTTTCTTTTGCTGTTGTTGTTGGCTTAAAGCCGCACTGTTTTGTTGTATATCGGTCAGAGCTACTGTCTTGGTGTTCGCTACGCCCAAAAGGAAGTAAATCTTCTGAGCCGACAATACTCTGCGATGCACACTGGTACACACACTAAACACGCATTACCGTTATGACAGACATTTGCGTTAGTAACGCAAGCTCCGAGTAAAAACCTAAGCGATAAACGGTATGCACGATGATTACTTAACTGAACCCTATTTCTTCTTTATTTGTTTTCCACAAACTTTACTGGAGTATATGTGGGAATAGTACCGCTTTGTTGGTGAATCGTAGCTCGACAAAATAGCAACTGGTTTGGATGACAGTGTCTGTCGGCAATAATACGGACAGCCGACAGCGTCGCTAGGGACAAGCGCGCGTTTTTGTACAACTTACAAGGTCGAAGCATATCTCTCCCTTACCTCATGTACCATCCAACGAAATCGACTGCAATAGTAAGCGCTGCAACGGTTTCCTCATTGAAAAGATCTAGACCGTTGGGATACCACCATAGTTGTTCAGCCACATTGCTAGAATGCGATGCTGAGAGGTGACTGTTGTAGATCATCGGAGGACCAGAATAAAAATCTGCAGATGGTTCAGATCACGATTTATCTTCAGATTCCATTTTCATCATAATCCAAAAATTTGTTTCGCAACACCAAAAACACTGCTCTAGGTGATAACTAATAACTATCGTACCTCCAGTTGCAGTAGACAGCCAAATTTTGTAGGGGAACGTTAGACCGTTGTTGAGCGATATTTCCAGTTGGAAGGAAAAGTTAATGGTATAGATCAAAGGAGGTATGATACACTGAACAGCTCCCCGTTCTCGGCGTATTCCTTGTACCACTCTATCGGCAACTCTACAACGTATCGACTCGCTAGGGTTGTTGATTGCGTCGAAATCGATTCCGTAAATTTTGAACTTCGAGCCGCCCAAATAGAATGGTTCTAAACCTAGGGAATATAAACGCTTGTCTAGTCCGGAGGATAATTCGTAGAAAATATTCAGCTCTTTGCGCACGCAGTCCGCTGGGGTGCTTTCATTCACTGGTAGGGGATGGTTTGGTTCGTTGTTCGAAGCAGAATCTGCGCCAACGTAAACTTTAGGGTACTGTTACTGGTGCCAAGTTTAGCATACACCTGTACCCAGTCTGTGGTCAAGTACCGCAGCCTCCCATATTATAGGCACCTCGCTGTCGGTGCCACCAATGATAAATGACCGATGTCCTTGAACCGTGAATACAATTTGCATTGCAAAATGCTCCCCGGACTTAACGCCATCTGTCTTTGATTAAAACAGGTCGCACTGTTATTTTTTCAGCGAAGGACAAATTCATAGTAAGGGTTTTCTAGCTAAAGTTAACTTGGGGTACTGGATTCACTACATGCTGTAAAAATCGCATGGCAGCACTGGCAGATGCTGTAGCGTAATTATGTATCTGTAGTAAAATTAATCTACCATCACCTAGACAGATTAAATACTTCAGGCGTGGAACTGCCGCGCCGTCTTCTGTATCCAGAATAAGTCAAAATGAAGGCCCATTCCGGCTCGAACAGTTCGGACGCATTATGGTTAACCCTGAAGTTCAAAAATGTTTTTAACGACAACAGTAACTTTTCGCAGCGATGGTAATCATTTTAGAAGGGTTACGCGCGGCGGCGGCGCCACATTAAAGTGTGCCTGAAGCGAGTCCTTGTGTGACCTCGTGTACTGCTTCAGTAAAAACATACAAAAATGACACACAAAAAAACATTTAAAAACAAACAGTATAAAAATATGAAAACATATAAACATATAAAAACATATAAAAATAACAAATTACTTGAATAAATTTTGTTTCCCTAGCGATCATACATACTTATGTACAAGTACACACAAATATTTTCGATTTCCTTAACATCCGGTATGTTTGTGCTACCAAAACGGGCAAATACCTCAGTGCGGCTTTGATGCGTTGGTAGATTGTTGAATTTTGCACGACAGGACCAATTTCACGGTAATTCACAGTGGCATGCGCTGGACGATAGTCTTGCTCCTCTGTACTGTCATTAGCAGGATCGCACCATTGAAAATTGGCCCAAACCAGCTGCAGTTGATTAGGCAGATCCATCGACCCCGTGATCGGATTGTACCAAAGGGCACCGGAAAGCAGTATTTTTCCCGACTCAGGGAACGCGGTATACCAAAGCTAAAGGGAAGAATATACTTAACGCATAAGATTATTTAAGCATACGCACTATTGACGCTCCAGTGTTCTGTTTTCCCTTTTACATACTGAAGAATAATCAATTACCTGAATGAACGCTTGCAGTGCTTTAAAGTAAATGCAAAACAACAACTTTTTTCGGAACATTCCCCGTGCACCTACTGTCAGGGCGTTAATCTGGCTTCCTCCAATGGCAATTCGCCTGGACAGCGGTATGTTGAAAATTCCATCGCTTCCGCTTGATTGTGATTGCACATTGTCGCCCACGGAAGGGCCAAAATCGCCGATAAAAGCAGTTTGCAAACAGCCCATCGGCACTGTTCTTAAAACGCACAATACTAGTGCTGTAAATGAAATTAATGAATGCATCTTCGGCAAAACTGTGTAGCCTTCCCCAATCCACGGTTTGCTCCCACTCTTTTAAGTAAGAGAAGGTTTTTCTTTCCCTCTGTTGCCCTTGACCCATGTGATATGTTTCGTCAATTTATAAAAGCATTTACGGGCCCAATAAACTACTCTTGAAATATGAATAATGGAATAATACGAGTTATTAAAATTTCGTGATTTTATGGCTTCCATTCGACAAATTCACAGACGTTGTAAAACACACATTGTAAAACGAAGAGCGAATAAGACTTAGAATTGCGGGACTGTCGTAAAACGAGCTTCAAAAGCCACAGAAATGCAAACACCGATGACTTCGATAGACCGCTAGTAGAGCGGCCCAAAGCACCGATTCCCGATAGTGAGCTATTGTAAATGCATAGTTTACTAATGTTGTTTTCTGGCATAATAATGGAGGCAGCTGTTACGATGATCTGCTCTTTGATCAGGTGATAGTATAGTACATAATACGGTATCTGAAGCATAAAATAATTTTATTGACCATCATGCAGAATATTTTCGGCAAAACTGCGGAATACCAATCACCGACTGCCAAGAGCAAGAGACCATTTTCAAAATATAGCAGAATCATGAATACGTAGCGGACAGTACCAGCAAGGGTAAGACTGACAACACCTGTATAATATTTTATGGCAAGTGTCAACCACAATTGTTGCTGCTTCCCAAGGAAGCAGAAAAATACAACAGGCGGCCAGCGCGGTTCATGTTTTTATTGCTGAGCAATCTCCGTTTTACGGGCGGTAAGAGTCCAGCCGGGTAAATGCTTTGTTTGATATTTATTACTGTTTATTGTGAACATCTCTGGACGACGAGAGGCCGTTATGGCAGTTTTCGGCGCCACAAAAGCACACATTTGTTTACTTAATTTTGGAAAAAAAAGTTGATAACCCGTAAGCAGTATTAATAGGAAGCTGCCGACCGTTGTCGCATTTTCACTGTTACAATTCATCCGAACAGTTTGCGTTCGTAAACCTCAGGAAACATCGCAATACAAAAATGTTTCACGGATTTGATATTGGCTGCACCATTCTTATAATCATCACAACAGCTGGCTTGACAGCCGGACGCATCGGTATTTTTCAGATAGAGGGTTGAACTACGAGTAGTAAAGTAAATTAATGTCAAACTCAGAAAACTTAAACGTATTTTTTATCCAATCGAAACTACGAGCATTAACGCATTACCTTGAAAAGACCCTGAGCATTTCAATCTGCCGTCGTTTTGCAAATACGTAGATACCTGTTAACCGATGTTGTTTCAGGTTGTCCGAATGGTCAGCCGGTATATAACTGTCTCCGTTCACCGTGTTCTGTCAGCTCCTGCCCGGCCTTTCCAGGTGCCGAATGTCGCGATGATTACTGCGGCGGATGCAATGCCCGCTATTATGTTAACAACCGACAAGTCAATTGCGCCAGCTCCGGAGCCGTCTCCCGTAGGAAGCGAGAGGAGCACTGTCCGTTTGTGAAATGTCCGCCCCCGGACATCCCGTGTCCGCATTCGCCGTGCGCTAACCAACATTGTCCGGCGTATCCCAGCGCTCTCTGCTGCCACTTGCCGTGCGATCCCCCATGCTCCTTCTCCTGGTATGTGGGCAACCAGGATGTGACCGAAGATTGTTGGAACGTTGATCCGAATCCGCAACCGGAAGGGCCGCTCAATCCTATCACCTAGAAACGGAGTTATCATAAAAGCATGCTTCTGACCTAACTTTCCGGCTTATTATTTTGTAATGTTAAATTGCGCTCTTTTTGTTGCTGCTGTACAACAGTTGTACGGAAGCACTATTAGTGGTGCGAAACCTGAAAACGCCAAATTTTTCAGCGTTTTCCAGTTGAGTGCCATCGCATACAATGGGTAAATTTAATTTTCTGTATATACGAGAAATATCTGAATACATAGCGCAAGAATGCATTTTGGGTTGGCACGATGTTGTTCGCATAAAATCACAAATTATTGTATCAGTACTCTCCCGTACGTTTCGTCTACCGTTGACGTACGTGAGCCATAATGTTATGGCAGCTGAACCAACAGTCGAACACGTTCGCATCTTTTATGGTTTTATTCAGCGTATCATCTATTATGTGTTTTTTGCGGTTACGTTAGTTGTGCTCTTTTTGTGGTTGCTGAATTCGGTTCGGACAAACACTATAGACGGTTTGCACACTAACTGTTATCCGTGCATTGTAAACGAGTACCTTAAACCGAGTACAGATCTTACACAAGTAGAAAATATCACCATCGCAAATATAATGCGATTACTCAGTTTCGTCTTAGAGTCGGGATAATTTCCGCCGAAACGGCCACAGATGTCTCCGTCAAGAGGTAAACCAGGTTAATGATGGCTGCCGCATTCGTATTTCGTAGATCGTCAACACAACTGCGACATTAGTGGGTTTTCCATTACCGGCGCGCAACAGCAATCAAGTTGTAATGATTGTGCACAGTCGGTTTGGTGTGTCCGCGCAGCTGATCCGGTCTTCCTGGTGACGATTCTCGGTAAGCGTGCATCGCGAAGGATACCCGATGACTGATTAGCAACGGCGAAAACTCCTAGCATTCGGAGGTATCCGTCTGGCATACTTTCTTTGAATTTATGTATAATCATTTGACGCAATCCTTTGGTGAAAGTGGAATGACCCGCCATGTCGTCGGCAGAAATTCATTCACCTTCACTGTCAAACGTCATGAAGTCGAGCAGTCAAACTTTTCGCTAAACTGTCTTGGTTTTCCTGTTTTGCAAGCTAAAGGTCACAATAAAATATGCGTTGCTTATTCTCCCGTCTCCTTACTAACATGTACGAAAAGTTCGTCTTACTGTTTTACTTTTATATCTAATTAACACCATGGCAGTGTCGAGGCAGCTCGATACCCAATACCGCTTTCTGCATGGAATCTTCTTCGTGATTGGTAAATTGTTTCCTTGTAGCTTGCACGTTGCATTAATCAAAAATTTCGATGAAAAAGAACCGCATATCACCAGAGAGTAATAGTATGTCAGTGTAATTGAAGAGTATACACGATAGAAAAGTGCATGCTTGCATATTTGTTCGTGCATGAGCTGGTTCCATACTTCGCGTTTTCTCCTATTCCGGTACTTTGAGTGTACGTTCAGATTTCGGTCACCGGTCAGTTATACAGCCGCACATGTGGCGCACTGCATGAAAAGCTGGTGATCAAGTTTAAATTTTATTTTTGTCGGGATTTGTGCACATAAAGGACCGTTTTTTCTTGCGTTTACCCTGTTCAGAGTTTCCTTTATTCGTTTTATTTTTCATAAAAATTTTTCATTATTTGTGTTGCGCTTCGAATGTAATGAGAGAAGCCGTTATTGTGAAAACCAATCATTTCTGTGAATTTTGTTTTGCCAGGCAAGTTTACTACCTGGTGACCGAAATATGAAATCGTATAATTAAAGCCGGAATATGAAAAAAGCGAAGTATCGTTTTTATGGTCTTCTGACATTAAATAATCTCAGCTTTTACGATGAACTTTACCGCTAGCTATACAGTTATACCGTATCTGAAGCTTAATAAGATGATTGCATTGTTGTTTATAATTATGCCGATAAGCTGCGCCGCACTGTTTTACTGACTGCAATGAACTGAATTTTGAATGAAATTTTTAAACTAACCTATCATTCATGCATTCCAGATATGTAGCAGACGCTATCAGAAGGCAGAAACGTTTCAAGAAGATCGAAAATCGCCACCCACAGTTGTTGTTGCTCCAGCCTACTCAATAGAACAGAAACGAGAAACGACGGAAAGTACAACAGTCGGCAAGCGTTGTTTACTATGAGCCCATATGTATATTTATTGCTGAACAATCACACCTTTACAACCGGTAGGAATCGGGTCGACCAAAATGTTTTGTTTGGTGTTTAAAGTAAACATCCCTGACCGTAATGGCAGTTTCCCGTCGAAATCCAGCAGTAAAACATGCATTTATTAAATTGCGGAAATTGTTTATAGGCAGTAAAACGTATTTAAACGTAGTCATTGCCGCTTAGTTTCACCATTACCTTGGCGAATCATCCAGACAGTTTCTCTATAAAGCACTGACATTCTTGTACAACTCGTTCTTGTTGCTGCAGCGAATTTTTACAAAATGTTCTACGTTTCTGAAATCCTACTCTCAGTTCTGGTTGTTATCGCATCAGCCGATTCAACAACCCGGTTCGGTAAGTATCGTATCTCAGTTTTGTTTGATATGGCTCTGGCGTGTATCTGTATTTCGCTGTCTTGTAGCTAATTAAACAATTATGCCGTCCAGTTGTCTCCGGTTTGCAAGTACTGACAAATATGATTAGTCCAGGTTGCCCCAACGGTGAGCCAATATACAACTGCTTTGCTGAACCGTGTGCCGTCAGCTCCTGCCCGGCCTTTCCCGGCGCCGAATGTCGCGATGATTATTGCGGCGGTTGCAAGGCCCGCTACTACGTCAATAACCAAGAAGTGACCGCGAAATGCCGCCAGTCCCGCGCGAAGCGACAAGCGGGGTGTCCGTTTGCGTATAAATGCGCGCTACCGTACATTCCGTGTCCACAGATACCATGTGCGAACCAGCATTGTCCGGCGCATCCCAGCGCTGTCTGTTGTAACTACATGTGTGGTGGTACGTGTACCTTCTCCTGGTGGGTTGGCTACCAGGATGTCACCGGGGACTGTTGGAATGTTAATCCGAATCCGCAGGGTCCGCTAAATCCCACCAGTTAGCCGCGGAATTACGATTTAGCATGCTTTTGACTACAACGATTGCTTTATCGTTCTGGATTATTATGTATTTGCGATAAATGCGCTCTTGTTGTTACTACTTTGTCCGAGTACTACGGTACAGTAGTACGTACTACAAAACCTGAAAACGCCAAATTATTGGCAGACATTGTCCAGTCGTGTGTAGAATATTGTAAGACCCACGTTTCTGTATATATGTATCTGATCACGTAATAAAGTATTTTGTGTTCGTACAGTGCTGTTCAGTGGCGCAAAATATTGCATAGGTAAAGTTTTTTTCATATCGTTTGCGTATATACAATATACTATATAGATATATATATGTAGATATATATATAGATATAGATATATATATGTACGTACAATGTATCTAGATATAGATATATATATGTACGTACAATGTATCTGTAAACGATAATTTTAACTGCATTTGTACCAGCACTTGAGCACTTCTGTTTTTCATGTAAGTAACATCATTCCATATACATGTACTCGTAATTATTCCGTGTACATGTAGGCTAAATGTAGCTATGTACAGATACAGATAGTGTAGTGGCTACGCGCCATATTAGCGCGTAGCAACCCGTATGGTTGTGTTGACCAGTAGAGGACGCATTTTATGTGGTGCAACGAGTATTTCATTATTATCACTATTCAGTATCTATCCGGCCAGAATGGCACAATAAACACCTGTGCCAAGACGTGACAGTATAATATTACAAAAAGCTGAACTCAAACTAAATAAAACTTTTTTATTTAAATGTACAGAATAAAGATGCCGGCTTCCTGTGCAGTGCGTATCCGCCGTTTTACCGTGTTGATGGTATCCGTCAAATTTATGTTTCATGCAACTAAGCTGCTGCATTTCCGGCAGTCTGTTGGTTCACATCGTGATTCACGTTGCCTTTACGTATGCCGGTAGCCGGCAAGTAAGCGCATATTATCGGTAAACTGAATAAATACCGGTAATTCTTCACCAGCTGTAACATTTGTGGGCAGCCGAAAAACATCCGGTTGCTCGTAAAATGTGCACTTTGTGCATTTTTACCTTTGTATGTCAAATCAGCGCAACCGATGTAATCCGTTAACAGTTTTCAGAAAACAACACGTCCTGCGCGACAACATTCTTCACACAGCTCTTATCATTTTAAGCGATAAAGTGAAGTGAGACGACACTGTGAAACACAGCACCATATTATCATTATTTTTTATACCCCGGAACTCAGCGTTCACTTTGCGTAAAGTTTAAGTTATTTTTCTAAGGATTGAAGTACCAAATCGAAGAAAATGAAACCTGTTGTATTTATCGGCATCTGTCTCGCCTTGTCCACGTCATGGATTGCCAGTGAAGCCGGTAAGTCTAACAAGATTAATTACTGAAGTACAGCATTCTTATAAATTTTTTAATAGAAGCTCCTATTTTACGAGCGAAAGCGCAGCTGTACCCACGGAAAAACCCTAATGCTGTGTGCTGCTGTTTATAAGCATTAAATTATTGCAGCGCTTGGATGCCCCAACGGACAACCCATGTTCAACTGTTTCGTGCAACCTTGCCGATTTGCTTCCTGTCCAGCTCACCCCAGTGCCAAATGCAGCGATGACTACTGCGGAGGCTGCAAAGCGCGCTTTTATGTCGGCACCCGCGAAGTAACGTCGACATGCGCAAGCACTGCTATTACTAGTACTCGCAGTCGCCGCAACACACAGGATTGCCCCATGATCAAATGCCCGGCTGATCAAGTGGTGAAATGTAAAGTGGAGCCTTGCCGCGGTAAAACCTGCCCCAATCGTCCCAATGCCCGCTGCTGCAACAGCTACTGCGGAGGATGCCGCTGGTCGTTCCACGAAAACTATCAAGATGTCACCTCGCAGTGTCGATAAGACAAACATTATGACGCCAAATGTTGCACCTACTTGTGGTAACGTTTACACATTTTGTCATCGTTGAAGGGTATGGCAACAATAACATTAATCTGCTTTCTTCCTGCACGATGCAATAGTTTTTAGAGTTACTGTTTTTTCTAGCAGCTTGGTTCAAATGCATAATTGTAGCAGGTACATTTAGTGAAAATTAGCTGCCATTGAATTTTGTGATGTAACTCAAAAGTTCAGGTTGTGCCAGCATAAAATTGTTGCACTCGTGAGTTATAGTATCGCGGAATAACTTTATAAGTAAGTACAGGAAGCCAGTCATTTTGCTTATGTACAGAAGAACAAAAATGCAAACAATGACATAAGTCAGTACAATCATAGATAAAAAGTAAAATCCATCGCATGATATATTGTGATTGAGCTACTGTAATCAAGTAAAACGTTATGCTCCTACCATCAGAAGTAAACTAAGTATTCCACAACTAGCAAACAACATTTCCGTTTTATACAACAACAACGAGGGAAACATAAATGACGCTTATTATGTCGGCATGATGATCGATACTCGTACGAAGAAAAACATGCAAAGCTACTAACGGTCAAACAACTCACAAGATGGTGCACGAAGACTGCTCGAGCGGAATGCGCTGACTGCCATCCAGAAGCTGCAAATGCGCCCGCACTTTCCTCCACGAACCCACCACATTGGCTCTGGTCCGATCGTTGAGCGACATCTCCGGTATAAATCCCGTATACACGAACTCCGGTTCGATTTTTTGATATTTCTTCGAGAACAGCAGCGTCATTGCCTCCTTCCGCAAGCGATCCTTCTCCAAATCCGTACAGTTCTCCGCACAGGTCGCGACAAATATGAACCGCTGAGAATTCTTCCCTTTCGCATACTTGACCCAGTCAAGAATGCAGTGAATGCTGTCCATAGGTCTTCGATAGTCGGCCAGCCGCGAAGACCACATACACCGTGTCAATGCGCTTGCAGTTGGCACTCACGCGACTGCGGATGAAATTAACCACATCATCATCCTCCCACTCCGTATCGCACAGCCCAATTGTATCGGCAACGACGATATTCCGCATTTGATGAGCACTCACGGAACTGGAGATCTTGGCTTGACCACGGACAAACGAAATCCCTTGTGTCACACTCTGGTGGCTCGAGCGCGAGTCGCAAATGTTGAGATTAAAGAGCACGTTGATCAGTCGCGATTTGCCGGCACCCGTTGGTCCCACCACAAGAACATTGTACGTGTTCTCTTCATAGTCCAAATACGGTTCCACCCGGCTGCAGACAATATGCTCCGTAGTGAATGAATACACGCGCGAACAATTACTTGGGTTCGCCATATTCGGGTGCGTATTATCCGGGAAGGTGTTGACCATCCGGTTGGTATCACACAAGAGACTCGAACGGAAATATTTGATCAAGAGCCCGTGACTCTGCGCATCCATCTGCAGGCTAATCCAGCGCCCGCGGAACACATAGTTCGCCACGTGCTCGCAGTTGCGCAGACACAGCGAGTAACTGCACATCCCCAGGACATGCCGCATACGATTGCGCATGGTTTCATCCATCGGTTTGCAGTGCTTCTTATTCGCCGGTCGGGTGGGATGTCGCTCGCGCGGAAACGTATGGATGACCACCCGCGCCGTGTAGATGCTGCTATCCGCGGATCCGAATTCCAGGATGTAGAGGCCGTTGGTTACGTACTCCTGGGCCATGTGCTTGCTCTCGGTGCAATCCAGATAAATCAGCTCGCCATCCTTGAAATTCGCCAGGGACGGTAGATTGGCCTGGCGGATAGGGATATACTTCACACTCATCACAGTGTGCTTGTTCCAGGTCTTTTTTCCGCTTCCACGTTAAATCGTCTAGTAGTACTCGGAGTCGCCGCAACACGCAGGATTGCCCCATGATCAAATGCCCGGCTGATCAAGTGGTGAAATGTAAAGTGGAGCCTTGCCGCGGTAAAACCTGCCCCAATCGTCCCAATGCCCGCTGCTGCAACAGCTACTGCGGAGGATGCCGCTGGTCGTTCCACGAAAACTATCAAGATGTCACCTCGCAGTGTCGATAAGACAAACATTCTGACGCCAAATGTTGCACCTACTTGTGGTAACGTTTACACATTTTGTCATCGTTGAAGGGTATGGCAACAATAACATTAATCTGCTTTCTTCCTGCACGATGCAATAGTTTTTAGAGTTACTGTTTTTTCTAGCAGCTTGGTTCAAATGCATAATTGTAGCAGGTACATTTAGTGAAAATTAGCTGCCATTGAATTTTGTGATGTAACTCAAAAGTTCAGGTTGTGCCAGCATAAAATTGTTGCACTCGTGAGTTATAGTATCGCGGAATAACTTTATAAGTAAGTACAGGAAGCCAGTCATTTTGCTTATGTACAGAAGAACAAAAATGCAAACAATGACATAAGTCAGTACAATCATAGATAAAAAGTAAAATCCATCGCATGATATATTGTGATTGAGCTACTGTAATCAAGTAAAACGTTATGCTCCTACCATCAGAAGTAAACTAAGTATTCCACAACTAGCAAACAACATTTCCGTTTTATACAACAACAACGAGGGAAACATAAATGACGCTTATTATGTCGGCATGATGATCGATACTCGTACGAAGAAAAACATGCAAAGCTACTAACGGTCAAACAACTCACAAGATGGTGCACGAAGACTGCTCGAGCGGAATGCGCTGACTGCCATCCAGAAGCTGCAAATGCGCCCGCACTTTCCTCCACGAACCCACCACATTGGCTCTGGTCCGATCGTTGAGCGACATCTCCGGTATAAATCCCGTATACACGAACTCCGGTTCGATTTTTTGATATTTCTTCGAGAACAGCAGCGTCATTGCCTCCTTCCGCAAGCGATCCTTCTCCAAATCCGTACAGTTCTCCGCACAGGTCGCGACAAATATGAACCGCTGAGAATTCTTCCCTTTCGCATACTTGACCCAGTCAAGAATGCAGTGAATGCTGTCCATAGGTCTTCGATAGTCGGCCAGCCGCGAAGACCACATACACCGTGTCAATGCGCTTGCAGTTGGCACTCACGCGACTGCGGATGAAATTAACCACATCATCATCCTCCCACTCCGTATCGCACAGCCCAATTGTATCGGCAACGACGATATTCCGCATTTGATGAGCACTCACGGAACTGGAGATCTTGGCTTGACCACGGACAAACGAAATCCCTTGTGTCACACTCTGGTGGCTCGAGCGCGAGTCGCAAATGTTGAGATTAAAGAGCACGTTGATCAGTCGCGATTTGCCGGCACCCGTTGGTCCCACCACAAGAACATTGTACGTGTTCTCTTCATAGTCCAAATACGGTTCCACCCGGCTGCAGACAATATGCTCCGTAGTGAATGAATACACGCGCGAACAATTACTTGGGTTCGCCATATTCGGGTGCGTATTATCCGGGAAGGTGTTGACCATCCGGTTGGTATCACACAAGAGACTCGAACGGAAATATTTGATCAAGAGCCCGTGACTCTGCGCATCCATCTGCAGGCTAATCCAGCGCCCGCGGAACACATAGTTCGCCACGTGCTCGCAGTTGCGCAGACACAGCGAGTAACTGCACATCCCCAGGACATGCCGCATACGATTGCGCATGGTTTCATCCATCGGTTTGCAGTGCTTCTTATTCGCCGGTCGGGTGGGATGTCGCTCGCGCGGAAACGTATGGATGACCACCCGCGCCGTGTAGATGCTGCTATCCGCGGATCCGAATTCCAGGATGTAGAGGCCGTTGGTTACGTACTCCTGGGCCATGTGCTTGCTCTCGGTGCAATCCAGATAAATCAGCTCGCCATCCTTGAAATTCGCCAGGGACGGTAGATTGGCCTGGCGGATAGGGATATACTTCACACTCATCACAGTGTGCTTGTTCCAGGTCTTTTCCGCTTCCACGTTAAATCGTCTAGTAGTGCGAACGAGCAGCTTGCCGAAGCGTAGTTCCCAACTTTGGAAGCGTAGCTCCCCATTTGGCGATGCGGTCGCGATCAGGTTCACGTGGTTACGATTCTGCAGAATAGATTCAAGACTTTCAAGTAACTTGTAATAACATCGTACGTTAATAAAGCAGAATTTTGCAAAACATAGAACGTTTACATTTACAAGGGTTTCTTAGAATTTTTGCTCGAACCTCGAATTTTCCAGATCCTGTTTAGCGCTGTTTGAAGTCAGTAATTATGTCAAGACGCTACGTCAGGTAGGAAAACCAGGATGTACAAAAGTGGAATTTTGCAACAGTCTAATATCTTCGCAAAAAGCCTTTCCACAAAATTAGAACACCTGTCAGTCCTGTCTGAATGAGCTTCTGAGGGTTACACACTGAAGAGCTTCGCCGTAATATTGGTGCTAACTTATTTTGACTACGAGTACTTACACTGTACAGTGTACACATAAAACGCATTCAAACAGTCTGCTGTACTTCATATTATAGAAGCGTGTTACGTTCCACTTGAACCAAATCGTGACAATCCACATTCCTGCACGTTCTCTAGCTCCGGTCTGCTGCTGGCCGTGCGTTTGATCCGCCTGTCTGTCTGATTCAAGGTGAAGCCAAGCCCAGGCTATTATGTCATTTTGATTCATAATGACTGTGTTCCTCCCTGCTCATTTTGTTATTGCAAGGTCACGTAAAGCCTAAACAGTTTTTTCCAAGTAAAGTGCAAAGTTCAAGTACTGTACTTCCTTTACTTGAACTTCTGAACCACTGGCCAATGGTCATTACAGAGTGTTTTAAAAGCCTGAACCAAGTAAGCGGCTTCCCTAATATTATTTACAATTTCATTACGGAATTTTTGGAATTTTCTACTAGCCTGGGTGTTCTTCGATGTGGATCGTATAGAATGTTGGGATTGTTGGAAATCACACGTCAGAAAATGGGTAATTTGTTGGATATAGTACGACAGGGCAGTCAGACTGCATATCTAGAAAGGGAGCAAACGACTTGGCCTGACGTCACTCCCCATGCTGTTCAATACGATGAAGGAATCCGCGAGAAATACCTCCCATTGTTAGATGAGTTCCACAACGGCAGCGACTTATATCTTGGGTTCGTCGAAGATAAATGGGGCCACAGAGAACTGGAGCGTTGGTTCGTCACGGATAATTCACATTTCCTGGAGATTGTAGGTGGTAAGGTTTGCGTTACTTGCCTGTCTTGCCATCCT